TGGGAAGCATAAAATTGATTTGCTTTTTCTTCTTCCTCTTTATAAGCAATTGTTGTCACAACGTCTTTTGCGCGGTCGTCCGATACTTCTGCCAATTGGTGACTTGATCTCTTGCTATTTTGACGATACTAACCTCCTCAATTTTACTTATGTGGTTATCCCATTCTTTTTTTCTATTTTGTGTCATCTTTAAACATCTTTAGTCGTTGATTTTTTAATTTGTAATTTGTTCCAAGTAGTATTTGAAGAATTATACGAAAGGTGGTCCATAACAATTAGGCTATTTTAGGTGAACCGTGACTCAAAAATTGTACTGTCCATATATGTAATGCAGTCTAACAATGCTCCTTTATTACTATTTTTTTTTTGTTGGTATAAATAATGTATCATCGGCCCATTTATTTTCTTCATCGCCATGTCAAATAATAATCCTCTGTCCTTTATTGGAAAGTTCTGCATTTGAAAATATATTTTATTATTATTTGTCCAGATTATTTCACCGTGTCATGAGTATTAAAGTAGGTCTCATGTAAATATACAACGTTCCGTTTCATTTTCCATACTCTGTTATATTTATACTTCAAACTATTAGCCTTGAGGCATAATCGAAGTGTTGTTTTTAACGAGTAAAAATGTTTATTGAACCAATTCAAAGGCTTTCGATAGTTCGAAAAACATTCGCTGCGTACTTTTCGTATGCTGGTCTTGTCACAGGTTTAATAAGGTGACATTTGTTTTTTTTTCATAACTTGCAATTATCACCTCTACTCTTCTTCCCAGATGAAAATCTTCCTCATTTAATGGTGTAAATCCGATTTTAGTATCTTCAGACTTTGGCATTTAGTATATTAGACCACAATAAACAATTTTAACATGCATTTGGGATCGTCAGACAGGTACTGAAAATGTCGTTTATGTTTTACTTGGCAGTTTTGTAAATCTTCCCATTGGTTAGAATGTTCCATTGGAAAGACATTCAGTTCATGGATATTGTAGCCACACCGAGGCCACATTTTAAAAGTAATATCTCGGTAATATTTTAAAACTTTAGAAATATCAATCACAAGTCAAATCAATTCAGTAAACACTATTTTATTATATTATTGGAATATTATTGGAAATACTATTATGACTATACGCAGGGATGAAATCTAAACTGAACCAATGATAAGAAATTTAAAAATGATAACATTCATTTAGTCACCTTGGAACCTAATATCTTGCAATAACAATTATTCTGTAGACAATAGATACCGTCATCAATTACACTGGAAAATGTAATCATTAGATATGCATTGCAATAAATAAAAAATATAAACAATAAAGTCATTTGCTAATGGGTTAAACAACATTCCAAGCAAGATTACACCATACATTTCTACATATAAAAGCGTTTCTGATAGAGTATCTTATATTACAATAGGCCTAGATAATAAAACCAAGATTAAGGTTATACAAGTGTATGCCCCCACAACAATACATCAGGAAGAAGTAGTTGAAATGTTCTATGAAGATTTGATAACAGGATTAGAAGAAAATGATACAAAGTATACCATTATTATGGGAGGTTTCAACGCAAAATTAGGTAAAAAAGAAAAAATACTGAAACCAAAATAGGGATGCATGGTTCTGGCATACGAAATGAAAGGGGAGAAAAATTATATAACTTCTTAGAACAACAAAATTTATATGCCTTGAACACACACTTAGCAGTAGAAACCGGTAGAAACATACCAAATAATTATTGTAATCAGACAGATCAAACTAAAATACGACAAAAGGAAGATGAGTATAGAAAAGTCTTAAGAAAATAATTTGTAGAACATTATCAACAAGAATATTCCGACATGAACACAATTAATAAAGAAATGCAACGAAAGCTCTTAAGAGAAGAACTGACTGTTATAAAGAAAACAAAAAATAAAGAAGACCGAATAAGTGAAGGAACAAAACGGTTGATGAAAGAGACGCACATTTCTAAGCGAAGGAAAGCGAAACACCAATGGTTTCATAAAATTGAATAAACAAATAAAGAAGGGAGAAAAGGATGATTTAAGGATCTGTAATGAAAACAAGGTAGAAGACTAATGGAAAAGAACCGAGGCCTGAACTGCTTAAGATCAAACTTAGGAAAGCCTATAATAATCTCATTGAAGGATAAAAATGGAAAAGAAATAAGAGAAAAGAACGAAATTCTACAAGTTACTCAAACATTTTACCGTGATTTATATTCCTCAAACAAGAACCCAGATAACACTACAAAGGAAGATCTTAAGAGAAAGATAACGAATGTCAACTCAGAAATACTCCCTAACAGAATCTTTCGAAATAAAACAAGCTATGGCACAACTGAAGAACAATAAGGCTCCGGCCCAGATGGAACACTTGTAGAAATTTTAAAGGAGGGGAGTGAAATTATTCTCGAAGAATTGAAAATTTTTTTTCAACGAATGTCTTCACAGAGGAGAAGTCCCAGATGATTGGAATGAAAGTTTGACAATACTTCTCTTCAAAAAGGGTGACAGGGGACATTTGAAGAACTATAGGCCAATCTCCTTGCTGTCCCAAATGTACAAACTGTTTATGAAAGTAATAACTAACAGGTTAACGTCGAAGCTCGATAGCTATCAACCGGTAGAGCAGGTAGGATTCCGAAAGGGTTACAGTACAGCGGATCATCTTCTTACAGTCAGAACTTTAAACTCGTGTCAGACGGTCAAATATTTGATCAAACTAGTTTGACCAACCCAAAAAATTGACAGCATACGATGTCACATCCTGAGTTTGATCAAATTCTCTAAAAATAGAGGATCTCCTTATTTTCAAAGTCAGTTTGATCAAACTTTAATTTTGATTGGTCGAAAAATATCTAAAGTCAAATGAAAATCAGCAGTTAGACATAACGTATTTAAATTAATTTTCTTTTTTCTTTGGTCGACAGTGTGTGGTATATTTGTCCTCCTATTACGTTATAAAATAAAAATAAAAATTTAAAATATCTTGCACCCAGGAACAAGTTTCTACATAATTGATTTATACTGAGTGAGAAAGAAACTGGTTATATAATGTCAAGAGTCCATATTATTATAAAAATCCTTTCACCTTTTTTATTTTCTTTGTGGATAATAAAAATTAGAATCGTAAATAAAGCCCAAGCAACTAATAAAATAAGCAAAAAAGACGATTAATTTCTTGACATACGTCTGAGTTCAATTTGATCAAATTTGAATGATCGTGTGACACGTAGATTTTTAAAATTTGAACGAACTGTAATTATGACGTTATTACATCAGTTTGCTCAAACTAGTTTGATCAAATATTTGACCGTCTGACACGGACTTAATAGAGAAAGCCAATTAATATCACTTGAAATTATACATTGACTTCGTGGATTATGAAAAGGCATTCGACTCCATAGAACTTTGGGCACAACTGCAGGATAGACTCCCGATACAGAATGCTCATACATAATATTTAAAAGAAAGCTACAATGAAAATACAAATAGATGCAAAAACCAAAGCTATACCAATCAACAGAGAAGTTCGCCAGGGATATGATATCTCACCAAATCTATTCACACTTGAACTGGAAGATGTGTTCAATGACATTAACTGGGCATATAAAGGAATAAATGTTAATGGAAGAAAACGGAGTCATTTAAGATACACTAATGACATTGTATTCGCTACAATTTCAAGCTTCGGAAAAAGTAGGTCTTAAGGTAAACTTGGAAAAAATAAAAATAATGACAAATACACCGAACATTAGAGAAATCACGTTGAACGATATAAATTTAGAAACGGTAAGCGAATCTACCTGGTACAGATAATGAAAGTTAACAAAGAAAGTCAAACTGCCGAAATTACCAGAAGAATAAGGTTAGCGTGGGCAGAATTTGGAAAACTGAGTTGGATCTTGAAAAGCACTAAAATGGAACAATATTTGAAAACCAGAATTTACTATCAGTGTATCCTCCCTATACTCACGTATGGTTCACAGACGTGGACACTCATCAAGTCTCCTCCTCCTCCTAAGTGTCTTCTCTATTGAGGTTGGCGATCAATATGGCAAATTTCTCTCTGTTCTGGGCTTGATGGATTAAGTCATTTCCTGTTATGTGAGTCCAATCTCTGATGTTTCGGAGCCAGGATTTCTTCTTTCTTCCTATACCCCTTTTACCCTCGATTTTGCCTTCTAATATTACCTGGAGCTGCTCAAATTCCTTATGGCGCATTATGTGTCCTAGATATGACGTCTTTCTAATTTTGATTGTATTAACCAGATAAGGTCGTGTGTTCATTATTTCCAGTACCTCTTCATTTGTAGTTTTGCTGGTCCAGCTTATTCTTCTCGAATGAATTCAGTTTGTTGACGTCATACTGTTTTAATGTCCAGGTCTCACAGCCATATAGTAGTAGAGACCACACGTAACACTTTAGTGTTCTTAACCTTAATTAATTAATTAACCCCATCAAGTCTAATATGGATAAAATAGTAAAAGTACAAAGAGCGATGGAAAGATCAATGCTCGGAGTGAGAGTTATAGACAAAAAAAAAACAAAAAAATGGAATAGAAGCAAAACCAAAGTAAAAGATGCAGTAGAATATGCTGCCAAATTAAAATGGAGCTTCGCAGGACACAATGCCTGACTGAAGGATAAGAGATCGAACCACAAAATACAATAATGGAGACCATGGTTAGGAAAGATCTAAGGACACAACTGGAAGCAAGTGGCACAAAATAGAAGACATTGGATTGGGAGGCCTATGTCCAAAGTTGGATTACTTAGGCTGAAGAAAGAGAATGTAACTATATAGATCCTACACACTGGATCTCAATTGAATTTATTTATTTAAATAATATAAAATGTGACTACGAACTCCACTGATTCTAAATCAATATACCTTTAATAATTTGTCCTCATACAAAAACTGACTACGCACGACAGAAAAATTGATAAAATTACACAGCATAAGTTAATAAATAAACAATACTTACGGCGTCAAATGCTTTTTCTTTTGCTTTTCCTACATCAATCACATATACAACATCATCGATAGTAATACTGGTCTCTGCTATATTAGTTGACAAAATAATCTTTCTTAGACCAATTTCTTTAAAAACATCATTTTGCTCCTTAATGTTCATGGATCCATGGAGGTAGAATATTTTATAGTTATGATCTAGCAAAGCGTCCGACTTTTCTATGCTATCACTGCACATCATAATATCATCGTAACCAGGTAGAAAAACTAATATAGATCCAGGGATCCCACTATTATGTATACTACTTATCACAGTGACTATGAGATCAAAGTCAATAACATCTTCTGGTGTTGTTATGTCATACAGATCTAGTAACCGTAAGCCCTCTGTATGTGGATCTGCAATCGGTTCACCTTGTCTTTCGTTCTGTACATATTTTAACAACGTGATTACTTCTTCGTTGCATGCATAATCGAAAACAGTTTTGCCTAATCTACACCGGAGGTTAAGATCAGCGCCTAAAAAATAAAAAAAATGGAATTATTGCAAGGAAAATAGTTTGGACATCAACGTCCAAAAACAGTGAGAAAATCTTTCTCAAAAAAAGCGCAAGATAAATCTCGTTAATCCAAGTTTCAGAACAATCATTACAAAGAATTAAATCTTTTAGCGAAAGCCGCTATCGCTGTATGTATTAAATGGCCAACTATATGATGGCCTAGGAGGCAAATTCGTTAAACTTCCCGTGCTCGAATTGGCATCACTAAAGTGTTATGATCATTTCGGCCTATCCCAGCCATCGTCAGACACTTGGGCTGATACAAATTCAAACACGGAAAGTAAAACGAATGTCTCCCAATCTTCACTACCGTGTAGTTAGCTTATAAAGGCGCCCTCTATTTTGAAGGCCGTGAACGAAACGATATGAATAATCGTTTTCTGTATCCTTTATGCTATGCGAAATGTGTAAGAATTAAATCTTTTAGCGAAAGCCGCTATCGCTGTATGTATTAAATGGCCAACTATATGATGGTCTAGGAGGCAAATTCGTTAAACTTCCCGTGCTCGAATTGGCATCACTAAAGTGTTATGATCATTTCGGCCTATCCCAGCCATCGTCAGACACTTGGGCTGATACAAATTCAAACACGGAAAGTAAAACGAATGTCTCCCAATCTTCACTACCGTGTAGTTAGCTTATAAAGGCGCCCTCTATTTTGAAGGCCGTGAACGAAACGATATGAATAATCGTTTTCTGTATCCTTTATGCTATGCGAAATGTGTAAGAATTAAATCTTTTAGCGAAAGCCGCTATCGCTGTATGTATTAAATGGCCAACTATATGATGGCCTAGGAGGCAAATTCGTTAAACTTCCCGTGCTCGAATTGGCATCACTAAAGTGTTATGATCATTTCGGCCTATCCCAGCCATCGTCAGACACTTGGGCTGATACAAATTCAAACACGGAAAGTAAAACGAATGTCTCCCAATCTTCACTACCGTGTAGTTAGCTTATAAAGGCGCCCTCTATTTTGAAGGCCGTGAACGAAACGATATGAATAATCGTTTTCTGTATCCTTTATGCTATGCGAAATGTGTAAGAATTAAATCTTACTCTCTTACATCTCTTTTGAATTTGTATCAGCCCAAGTGTCTGACGATGGCTGGGATAGGCCGAAATGATCATAACACTTTAGTGATGCCAATTCGAGCACGGGAAGTTTAACGAATTTGCCTCCTAGGCCATCATATAGTTGGCCATTTAATACATACAGCGATAGCGGCTTTCGCTAAAAGATTTAATTCTTACACATTTCGCATAGCATAAAGGATACAGAAAACGATTATTCATATCGTTTCGTTCACGGCCTTCAAAATAGAGGGCGCCTTTATAAGCTAACTACACGGTAGTGAAGATTGGGAGACATTCGTTTTACTTTCCGTGTTTGAATTTGTATCAGCCCAAGTGTCTGACGATGGCTGGGATAGGCCGAAATGATCATAACACTTTAGTGATGCCAATTCGAGCACGGGAAGTTTAACGAATTTGCCTCCTAGGCCATCATATAGTTGGCCATTTAATACATACAGCGATAGCGGCTTTCGCTAAAAGATTTAATTCTTACACATTTCGCATAGCATAAAGGATACAGAAAACGATTATTCATATCGTTTCGTTCACGGCCTTCAAAATAGAGGGCGCCTTTATAAGCTAACTACACGGTAGTGAAGATTGGGAGACATTCGTTTTACTTTCCGTGTTTGAATTTGTATCAGCCCAAGTGTCTGACGATGGCTGGGATAGGCCGAAATGATCATAACACTTTAGTGATGCCAATTCGAGCACGGGAAGTTTAACGAATTTGCCTCCTAGGCCATCATATAGTTGGCCATTTAATCATTACAAAGTTTACAAAGTGTCTTTATAATATAATAATTGGACAAGAAACTCATAACAGATTTTCAAAAAAGCACCAAAACTGTGGTATACTCAAGCAACCAAATATCGCTCGTATCGGTGTGGCCGGTACGACCTGACTTCATATGGTCTAAGCGGAAATGCAATTACGCATCGAGGATCTTTCGCCGGTGAAATTCTCTAAGTAGGCCATTTGATTTCCACTTACGCAAATTAAAAAGTTTAATAGGAACTTATGAGATTTACAAAGAACAATGAATGAAAAATAATGTGTAAATAAACATTTAGAGTATGCCTTCTCGTTTGAAATTCTAAGTATTGTCTTTCCAAAATGTATAAGACGTAAATTAAAACCTTCGCAAATTTTTTATGATATACAGAGTGGAAGCAAAAACTGCTACAATGGTGTAAAATTATTTTACAATAACTTGAGTACAATTACATAAGTATATTTACAATAACTGAATCTTGAGCTCATACATACCAGCATTTAAGAGCTAAATCTGTCTATAGGTAATATTGTAATAAAAACTTACCCATGTTGCATAATCTGCTGATAAAAGTTTTGTCTCCAATATGGGCAGCCAACATTAGAGCAGTTTGTCCACTTTGTGAATGTTGATAGTTCACAGAAACTCCCTCTGAAATAAAATACATAAAAATCTGTGCCGTAGCTTCCTCATTGTCTACTGTATAATCATAATTTTCCGAAAAATTAAGATAACTATCCAATTCTTCATCCATACATTCATTCACTTCATCTTTATCTTCATCCGTTTTTTTTACCTCTTCACAAAAGGTATTTACTAGTATTTTCTTTTTGGATTTTCCATTATCCTCTGCTTCTAACATTTTCAGCGACATGTAGTTTGTTGATGCCAAAATTTCTTCTAAAAAGTGGGTTTCTATCGGAAACACTCTTCCAGGGATTGAAAGTACTTTTACATTACTAAAATAATCCACAAACTTCTGACAATTGATAGTAGCTGACATGAGAATGACCCTCAGGTTTGGAAAATTATGAACATGCTGTTTCAAACAAATTAATATGAAATCAGATAATTTGTCCCTTTCATGGATTTCGTCAATTATAATGTGTGTGATATTCTGCAAGGCATCTGATGATCCCATTAAGATTCTTAGAAACACACCTGTAGTACAGTATATTAAATTGGAATTGGCTCCGTACTTTTGTTCTAATTTAATATGATATCCAATAGTTTCACCTACAGATTCTCTTCTTTCAACGGCAACACGCTCTGCAACAGCAACCGTTGATATCCTTCGAGGTTGAGTGCATATAATTTTGCAAGGTTTATTATTAGTAACAGCATCTTCAAGGATGTATTGTGGGACCTGGGTGGTTTTTCCTGATCCAGTTTCTGAAGACAAAATGACAAATTTATTGTCCTTTATTGTTTCTACTATCTCATTTCTGTGTTCGTAGACTGGTAAACTATCTCGGAAACTTTTTAGCTCGAGGTTATACTTCGCTGCTGGGGGAACACCTGTAAAATAAATCTCGTTTTATGTCTTTATTTTATAAATAAAGCAAAAAATATAACACAGGTAGATCAATTAGTTATAAATGCATGGTATAAAAAAATAATTGTAAATATAATAACTACAAATATAACAAATAACTACTAAGTAAAAGCTGAAATAATATAATAATTTGTTCAAGAATGAACAGCTAAAAAATTTAAATAATAAGACCCTATATGTTTTTATAAACATTTGGTGCCTGGAATTTGAAAAACAGATATGTGCAAGATGTTGGAATCTTTATTATTAAAGATTGAGATGTTTACAGTAACAATATTATGGGTCCCATTACATGTTGATAATTCAGGTATTGAAAAAGCCAACCTAGCAGCAAAACAAGCCTGTTCTCTAAACTTAACAACAAACATTCAGACATTATCAGATCTAAAAAGAACACCCAAACAAAAAATAATGCGCCTTTGGAATGACCATTGGAAACATTTTCTACCACCTGGTCCCACCAATGAAAAGAAAGGACAACTATATTATTCGATGATGAAAAACCAACTTAAGGTCAAAATAAAAAATGTCAACTCAGAGCTGCAGCCCGAAATAAGCAAATTAGAAATAAAGAAGGCATTGAAAGAAATTAAAAACAACAAATCGCCTGGAAAAGATGGAATAACTGCGGAGATGCTGAAATATGGTGGAAAAGTGGCAATTAATACTCTACATTCCCTTTTTAACAAGATATTAAAAGAAAAAAGAATCCCAAACAACTGGAAGGAATCAATTACCATTATCCTACACAAGAAAGGGGATAAAGCAGATATAAAAAACTACCGTCCTATAACACTCCTAAATGTAATGTATAAACTCCTAAAAAAAATTTTAACCAATAGATTGACGACAAAATTCGATGGATACCAGTCGAATGAACAAGCTGGTTTTAGAAAGGGATTCAGCACAAGTGACCATTTACTAAGTATGAAAATACTTATAGAACGAGCAAATGAATACCGCATTCCTCTATATATGGCGTTCATAGATTTTGAAAAGGCTTTCGACAGTGTCGAACATTGGGCAGTGAAAAGTTCTTTGATTAACAGCCGAATTGACCACAGATATACGGAACTAATAACCAATATATATAAGGAAGCCAAAACAACAATTAAAGTATATGAAGGAATAAAATCATTACAAATAAGTAGAGGCGTGAGACAGGGTGATACAATATCACCGAAACTTTTCAATCAGGCTCTTGAAGATACTTTTAAAAGATTAGAATGGGAAAAAAAGGTATAAAAATTTGTGGACAACGCTTGAACCATCTAAGGTACGTTGATGACATCGTATTGATAACCGATAAAAAGAAATTATTTGAAATGATGAAAGAACTGGACGTAGAAGCTGGAAAGATAGGCCTTAATATGAATTACAGCAAGACCAAAACTATAACAAATACAGATGAAGACATCACAATGAGAATCGGACAAGATGAAATAGAACAAGTTAAGGATTATATATATATCTTGGTCAAACTATAAAACTTAACAAAGAGAACCAAACAGCAGAGATCAAGAGACGAGTTAGACTGGCATGGGCGGCATTTGGCAAACTAAGCTACATTCTTAATAACAAAAGATATCCACAGCATCTAAGACCAAGTATATAATCAATGCATACTCCCTGTTCTTACTTATGGTTCCCAAACGTGGACATCTACAAAAGCAAACATGGACAAAATCATAAAAACGCAAAGAGCAATGGAAAGACAAATGTTACACATAAGACTAATGGATAAGAAGAGAAACGAGTGGATAAGAGAGAAAACAAAAGTGAGGGATGTTAGACAAGAAGTTGCAAAATTGAAATGGAGATTTGCCGGACACAATATAAGACAAAAAGAAGACCGATGGAACAAAATTCTTATAAGTTGGAGACCGTGGGAATATAAACGAAGCAGAGGAAGGCCCCAAATGAGATGGGCAGATGATATCAAGAAGCACGTGGGCTCTAGATGGATGACTGTAGCGACAGACAGAGAAGAATGGAAAAGGATTGGGGAGGCCTATGTCCAAAGATGGACCAAAGAAGGCTAATTAGATAGATAGATGAATAATAGGACACGAACGCCTTACTCATGGACACCTAACGAATTCCAGCAATCAGATTTTGTGCCAGTACTGCAACACCACGACTTCCGTAAAACACATACTTCTTGACTATTAACACTACCTAACAACCACTAATCTTGGTAATAACCTAAGAGTCATTCTTATCTAAAAATTTAATTAAAAAAAATGTATTCCAAAAGTGTATTGTAGCTACTATAGTTCCCAATGTAAAAGTTTTAAAAATATAAATATAAATGTAAATTCTGCCTGCGTCAATGACCACTAGCAGTAGAGATAAATATTTTTGAAATAAAAAAATTAATTACACAATATATAAAAGGTTTTTACCCATGTATTATTTAGTGGCTTCAAACATGTAAATCTAGTACCTAAGTACTAAACTACATTTTTGTTATAACCTGTAATACTTATTTTAGAATAGCATTGATGATGGAATACTTATCCAGAAAACATTCTGTGATGTAGCCAGATAGAGTTTTTATATTATTATACATTTTATAAAGGATTTTTTTTTAAATAAAAACATAGAAATTAAGTAAAGAGCCATCAATATTAAAAAAATAGGAAGTGGATGTTTAAAACATGAATTCTATGACAATATTATATTGATGTACCATTTCTAATGAATGGGGGTAAAAATTAGCACGACTAAGGCAGCAAAAACTTTAATATGCATACAAATAATGAATATAAACGGTGATCTGATGACGAATGTAAAATACACCTACCAACAAAATTCCAAAATTATATCCATAATATCAATATGGATACAGGGATTTCTATGATTTCTTACATCTTAAAACAGACTTACATAAAAATAGACTTAAAACGCATATAAGTGGCCAATCAACTGTCATCTAAGCTAAAAATTAAATTGAATTCTGAACAAACCACCACCTTTATCTCAATAGCAAGAGGCTATTTACAAGAGAGAGATGTTGAGCTACTTCTGTCAAATATCATCTTTATTTATTTATTACATACCTGGTTTAGTGGAAATTAGTTTCCCAAGCTTTTGTTTTTGTCCATGAAACTTTGGTTTTTGCAGAACCACATCATTGATATTTTCTTTGGCCATCGTAGCAAAATTATCAAGACATCTTGTTGAGCCTGGACAAACGGAAATGTTAAATTTCTTAGCATCTTTCTGCATGAAAGCTTTCTTCTTGATGTGTAATTTCCTGTTGGGTTCTCTACCATATGATCTGGAAATGAAGTTCATCTGGGCCGCCTTAAAGTGGATGTATTTCCTTTGGAAATTATTTAAATCTGATGGAAAAATGTATTCACTGCTCTCCGGATCATCTACAAAGGTTTTAAAGATGCGGTCTATCTCCATGCGCATTAGTATAGGAGTATTTTCTAGACAGTTAGTGTCTAAATTTTGATTCCGAGCTTGTTTTTTACTTAAAGGCTTTTGGATTTTATTAGGATTATATACATCCCTGAAAAATGTTTTTAAATTAAAACTTAATAGTTACCTTATAATGTTTTATGAATGTTTATTTAAGGGCTACCAAACAGTACTAAAAAAAACAAATGTTTAGGCAGTGCCTTGAGAAGTAGCAAACTTGGCTAGATACATAGCCGAACGCTTCCTGTCCAGAGATTTGAAGCAATTGAGAGTACTAGAAACCATGGAAGAAAATTTGCTGATCTAGAAGACAACCAGAATCAGATCCTTCGAGAGAGATATATAGGTATGATGTGTTCCATAGATGGAAGCACAGGGGACCAAAATAACAAGTGTCAACAAATATTTAATGAAGATTAGATAATATCCTAAGAAAAGACACAGTTTACTGAAATACGACAACAACAAAAACATCAAAAACATATACATAAAACAATTATAAAAATGCTAAGAAAACAGCACAACTAATAAAAGATAATTACCAAAAACAATTAAAAACGGGTCAGAGGGATCCAAACTCTTGAGAGCATAGTCGCCAAACTGGGTGAAGCTCGTGGCGGGAACACGGTGCCCAGGCAAGTAACAGCAGTATGAAGATAAGTCAATTAAAAATAAGCTTCTCATGCTGTCCCACATTATCTGATAAAAATATCATATGAGGGTATTTTTCTCGGGACTTTCATATGACAAGCAAATTATATTAATAACCTCCCATAGCACATCAGCATGCAATGGGAGGAAGGAGGAGAACCAGGGAAGCATTGGGGCTCATAGAATTCGTCCCTGATTTACTAGGACCTGTCTTCATTACACAAATTAATTGTATGTCTGAATGTCCATATGGGAATACAAGTCTCTTTAAGTTGATATTACTATTTTTTGTTTACTTGCTTGCTCCTTAATGTTTCTATAGTGTTATGATGCTGAAAGTGACAATTAATAAAGCCAAATTTTCACAGGAGTAACAAAGGCACAATATCCCCCTAATACATTGGAAACACAAAACTTGGAAACAAGGAGAAAAATGAAAGTGAATTGACCACACATTGAGAAGAGAGCAAAATAACTCTGAGGTCAGCACTCAAGTATCACTAACCTAACACAAAAGAATCATATTAAACTGTGAAGTCAAAAATAGAGCAAGAAATATTAGAGCATAGAGAGAATTGTTATAGAGATTATCAAGATAAAAGAGAAAAAGAATGTCTAGTCAATCATCAAAAGAGTAATGGTTCCAGAGAGATAGAGAGAAAGTGTGCAATAAATATTGGTATGCCAAAAGGTTTAGTCTACAATAATTACTTTTTATATTACATATTAATAAATTAGTATAATAAAATTGATGGTATTGTATTATTATTATGATACACTAAAGATAACACCTAAAGTTAAGTAGATGAGGATATGAATCTTTGCTTCATATAGGTAACTGATTAGAAGTAAATAGGCTGTCATTAAATATTGAAAGAACTGAATATATTTCTTTTTAAAAATTATGACAATCATTTATGAAAACAGATTACATAAAAATACATAGACAAAGACCACAAAGTGTGTGGAAATATGTACACTAGTGGCCAAAATTCTGGAAACTTTTCAAAAATTTTAGTTTTGTTATCAGCATTCCTCTTTTTCACAAAGCTTATGTTGTTTATAAGTTTATCTATAATTTTATTACATTGTTTTATGCTTCTACTTAATATTTAACATCTATTTTAAGGGGGAAAAATCCTCTAAAAATTTAAAAATAAATGAAATAACAGCTGTTAGCTATTAGTAGATATCTAACGTGCTACGTACTAAGAGTATAAGTCAAAAAAAGACGTTTTGGGATTCTTCTATATTTTGAATTTTTGATGTTTATTAGTTATTTCTGTACTAGGAGTATAAGTCAATAGCCTGTTTTTCATATATAAATATTGATTTTATTCCAACAGTATAACTTCTAATTTCAAAAGTCTGCTTTGTATTAAGAGTATAAGTCAACTTATATTGTTAGTACCTTCCGTTTTCACTTATGCAGCTTGACTTATACTCCTAGTATTTATACCACGTGTTAGGTGTTTCTAGTCAGTGATGCCAGATCATGGAAATTTTTCCATATTGTAGCCTTTTTGTACAAAAGGAAATTATAAAAATAAAAAGGAAAAACAAAATTTGAGACATTGGGAGGGCGTTTGTATTGAAAAAATGTAAATAATCAAAATTTAAGCATAAAATTTCAATGAATTAACAAATTTAAAAGTGGTGCGAAAAGGAAATTTCGAGGTTATGAGTGTGCAGAGTTCGGTAGTAGTTGTAAACTTGGCAAACCTGTTTATAACTTTCGTTCTGTCAAAAGTTTAAGAAGGTAGTTATTGTTATTGTTTATAAATTGTTTCTTAATTTTTCGAAATACTGAGTAGAAAATTATAAAAATAGCTAAATCCCATTTAAAACAAAAACATGAATAATTAAGTATTTTTTTTATTTAAGTGTTCTTAAAGTAGGTTGCTGTGAAAGTATCAGTGTCCTCTTATAAATATTTTTTAAAAATGAGTAGAGGAAAGCAAATTCTAAAATTATTAGAACAAAAGGATGATTCTTCATCTACAAAATTAGGTGAGTTAAGTTTGTTTTATTTGTTTAAAAGTTGCTAACCAATGATGAAATTATTACACCAACAATTTAACATATTTTCTTTGCTGCTTGCAGGGTATAACGAAATGCCTAGACTAAGTCTCAATCAACTATTGAATCAAAAAGATGTTATTGATTCAACTACGGAAGAAATTATTGGGATTGAGATGACCATAGATCCCCATACTGGTAAGAACTCCCATTCGTATAGGTATCTGTAGATAAATACCTAATACTTTTTACTTATAGACATATGTGCTTTTTAGGCATTGTAAATCAAATTGAACCCTTGACAACAAGTACATGTGAGCTTACTGAAGCTACCACACAACAAAATACAGATAATGGAGAATTAATTGATATTAACCGAAATGCTCCTGACCAAACGATTGGTTTTGAAACGATGCAAGAACCTAATTCCGATGACATTGAGGGCACCATACAAGAAATAGAGAATGTTGTCCATGAATTTTTAGAAGGTAAAATTAGAATTTCATGAGTAGTATGTTTATAAGCAAGAATGGTCCCTTCCTTTAATAAGTAACTTATTTTTTGTTAGCAGGTGAAAATGAAGTAATAAGTGGGGAGCCAATAAATCATTACCAAATGGATAATAATTCTGCGTCTGAGGAAGATATAGAAGTTTTTCTCCACACTCAAGGAGCACAGAAGAAGCGAAAAGCACAACGAGAGTCAACTCAATGTAATAATATTAGCACCTCAATAGCTGCTGGTAAACCAGCTAAGTATTCAAAAAAGAGAAGAATTGAGAAATTTCAGCAACGAAATGCTGGCCAGAGGTATGTAACACTGGATGGTAAAGAAAAACCTGCCAGAGTAATGACAGCTTTGGGCAGTTGTCGAGCAAACTGCAAAGAGAAACTCTCCATCGAGATACAAAAAAAAATTTTCAAGGAGTACTGGAGTCTTGGTAGCCGTGATAAAAGGGCAAATTTTGTGTCAAACATGGTTGAAAGTATTGAACCTAAAACTATGCGTAAACGAACAGATGATCCAAATAAAGAAAAGTTTAGGCAGTGGACACATAACTTTTTCTTTAAAATAAATGGTACAAAAAGCAAAGTATGTCGCGGTTGTTTTATGAAGGTACTAGGTGAAACTAATATGTTCGTGACACTTGCCATTTCTTCATCTCTCAAGTCAACATCAGGCATATCAAAATGTGATCAAAGAGGCAAAGAACCTCCACCATCAAAAATTTCAGATGTGAGAATTAAACATATTCAAGATCACATAAAATCATTTCCAGCATACGAGTCACATTACTCAAGAAAGAAAAGCGTGAAAAAATATCTACCACCCTATTTAAATTTAGCAATTATGTACTCGCTGTACCAGAAAAATGTCCACAACCCTGCTTCTAGAGCAATATATGAACGTGAATTCCATAAGCAAAATATTTCCTTCAAAAAACCAAAAGTAGATACTTGTCACAAATGTGACACTCTCTTGATGAAGATAAAAATTGCTCAAAATGAACATGAACGTAAGATTGTGGAAAATGAACGAAAAATGCACCTAGACGAAGCAGATTTAGCGTATGACATGAAAAAGGAAGACAAAGTAGATGCTAAGCTAAACAAAGATGAGAAAATTTGCTTTGCGTTTGATCTACAGCAATGTTTGCCTACACCTTACCTTAATACGTCAGTAGCCTTCTACAAGAGGCAGTTGTGGACTTTTAACCTTACTATGCATAATACAAGTAGTGGGGCAGTTAAGTGCTACATGTGGCATGAGGCGGAAGGTGGCAGAGGTGCTAACCAAATTGCGACGTGCCTCTATCAAGAACTTTCTTCTCTCCCAATATCAATTAAAAACGTCATTTTGTATTCTGATTCGTGCGGAGGACAAAACAGGAACTCTCATGTTTCAGCAATGTTTTTAACTCTAATGCAAAAATGTCCTCAACTGCAATGCATAGATCATAAATTCATGGTGAGTGGTCACAGTCATCTTGAATGCGATGTTGACCACGGGATGATTGAAAAGCAAAAAAAAACTTTGCAAATGCCAATTTCTACGCCATACGACTGGTACCAGCTAGTTCGCACATGTGGAAAGAAAAAAAAGTTCAGTGTTGTTGAACTAAATCACAAGGATTTTTTAGATTTTGCAGCTCTCTACAAAAAAGATCTGTTTTTAAGGACAAAGGATGAGGTCGGTCTTTCCTTCAAATGGACAGATATTCGTTGGTTGAGATATACAAGAGAGCCAGCAAAAATGTTTTTTAAATTGACCTTAGATAAGGATGAGCCATTCCGTTGCATTGATCTCCATCGTCGCAATAACACAGACGATGTTACTCTAGAACCTCCAAAGTGTTACAAAAAAAGTCTGCCAATTTCTGTGGAAAAGAAAAAGGATATCATGGCCCTTTTAACCCTAATACATCCCCAATTTCATAATTTTTATAAGTCTATGAAAACATCAGCAGGGGTAAAAAACACATATCCAGGCTCCGATTCTGAAGATTCTGAATAACAATTTTATTGTAAGTTAATTTTAGAACTTTAATTGTAATGTTTTTTTATAATTACATTTCATCATGTAGGTAAAGAATAAAGAGTTTAATTTAATATTTTTCTGTTCATGATTATTTTGATCACTTGTAAAATCCTCAATACACTCAAAACTGGCAGGACTAAGAGTATAAGTCATGAAGCAAACATGGCCTTAACAGTACAAGTCAACTAATATTTATAATTAATGTGGTATTATAAAAATAGAAAGTAAAATAGGTAATTACTACAGTTATGAATCATATTTCATCATCATTTTGATATTTAGTTGTAACAGTTATTTCAAAAGTGGTAATAAAAACTTTGAAGAGCCCTAGTGAAAAATTGATATTTTTGACTTATACTCTTAATACATAGCACGATAGATATATTTTTAAAAAAATGGTACCATGATTATTATCAACAAAATTATATTTGGTAGAATAACCTTTGTTTTTTAGGACAGATTCAATTCGCTATTTCTTGATAAGTGTAACCTTCTTCTCGAAGGATAATTGCTTTGGCTCTCTTTCCTGGCGACCAGTCAACACGTTTTGGGTTTCTGGTTGCCATTTTCATTGAATCAACGCTGATGAATTCCTCTCTGACAATTAAACAATATCACCTTAGTAACAACTACCTGATGTCACTAATAAACACTGGAAGCCGCACAAAACTGTATACAAGTTATATAATATATAGAAAAATTATTAACCATACATACTAAAATTATAGAAAAAATGCACACTTACTTAGATTTGCCCATTTTATGATATACTTGTTTCTTATACTGCCTCAAACTTAGTGGTGGAAAAGTTAATCTTAACCTAGAACATAGGGTACTTATACCATAGGTGTCCTTTCAAAAGATAAATAAAATAGACTACAAGAAGCATGAATCACATATAAAACAACACTACAATATGTAATAACAACTTTAGAAACTATGCTGTCAATTCTTATCCTTACAGGTGAGTCACAGGTAATATAAACTTACCACTCAAGAGGAAGAGGGGGCTTTTTAGCCAAACATATTTGTACGGCATAAAAATAATGACCTGCGACTCAATGGGTACAAAAATATTGGTAGGGAAGGGAAAGGAGCAGGGAAAATTTTTTTATTTTTAGAAAACTTTTTCCCCATTTTTGGCTTGACACAGTAGGGCTTCGTACACAAAGTTTCAAATCAGTAGATAATTTGTTTTTGCAACGCCGTACATTTTGTCTGAGCCCTAAGGCGCAACCCTTAATTTGAATTCCCATGCTTTGAGTAGGGATAAGAATTGAGGACATAATAGTTTCTAAAGTAGTTATTACATATTGTAGTATTGATTCATACCTATACATTATAAGCGATTCATGTTAGGTAAATGACCCCCTATAAATGTCCCATAAGCTTGTAGTTTAAATGTCTAAAAAGGTGTTAATTGTGACCCTAATTAAAATCCAAATTGAACAAAAGAAAAGAGGTTAAGAAAATATAAATATTATTTTTTAAAAGATCTTCCTATTACACTATAATTTGTACTTTTATATTTAGGACCAATAAATTATTCTTTATTTGTCAATATTGTTTTTATTACACTCTAATTAGTCTTGCTTTGAGCAAAGTTGCTAAAATTTGTGCAACATATTTTAAACAAATTTTCAACTTACCTACAAACTTACAAAAGTTGTATGACTGCAAATTTTTTGGAATCGTGAAAAAGTTTTAAAATGGTTAAATTTAAAAGATATAAAACTACATTTTTTAAATTAATAAAATATTATTTACTTTTTTCACTGACATGACATTGACTTAACACTTAACTTGACATTATTGACATATACATTCTATTGTGTATTGTCAATGACGTATGTATTGTATGTGATTCGCCATAGAACACTAAACATGTTGTACAAGGTGAATACAAAAAAGAAAAAAAAAAAAAAAGATGTTACTGTAGGCACAGAATAAATTAACAATCTGAATGTCCACCACAGACCACTAATTGTTAATAACAGGTTAAAATAGGTGATTTGTGATACCCACTCTCAGATGCCGCCTTTGAAGTGTGTCAGCACGCGATCGCCATATTTTAAACGGAAACACAGAGTCGGATTGAGAAATTTGTGACAAGCTGCGACAGAACCATAATTTAAATTTTTAAACATAATTAATAATTTAGTAAATTTGAAATAATTGAATCTATTCTTTATCTAAAAGTACGACAAAATATTGCATATTACGTCTATGTTGTCGTAAATAAATTAAACCGGGTTAATTTTTCTATGCACACCAGATACAATTTCACTGAACAGCACTGGTTCCGTTTAAAACATGGCTGATTCCGTCTGCGCGAACGAAATGCATGACAAGCAAAGTGGACATTCTGATTGTTATTTATTCTGTGTTTATACGTTTTCTACATTTTTAAAATTGAATAAAGTAATTTTATTATAATTTATATTTTAAACAAAATATATTATATGACATAATTCAATGAATTATTGTATTAGCTCATATCGCTACCTGTTAATGTATTAGCCACATTTCTATTATTATCATGATATATGACTATGTTATTTATAGTATCATGATTATTATATTATTTATCTATGGTATTAGCAAAGTATACGTTGTTTACTTCTGACGTTATACAGACCTGTCAAATTCAAACGAAATATTAAAATCATCATAAAATATAAATAAATATTATTTCTGGTAGTAAATTCATTATATAAACTTACGATTAAAAGTAATTTGTATTTAAGTATATGAAATTATATTAAAAAGACAAGTGTGTTAAAAATTTAAACAGATGTTGTTATCAATCGGATGACATTTATGACTTATAAATTTTGACAATCGTTGCGAATCAAATCTTTTATTGACAAATAATGTTCTTTTATTTTTTGAGTTAATATCTATATTTTGATATTTAGTTTACATACAGTTTTAAATTTAAACCTTCTTAGATTAAATATATGATGACTAGAATCAAATTGATCGAGAGTAGTTAAATCAATGTGAAGAACCGTCATTTTATGACACTATCTGTGATGCCTTCTCGTGGCGCTAGTTCCGTGACACTCTCCTCAGCATTTTACTATATAAAAAAAAGTAATAGAACGCCAGTATCGAAGTTTCACTTCCAAATTAAATTTATTTTATATTGTTTAATTCGTTCTATTTCCCTATTTCTGAATTTGGTGGAAGAACAAGTGATATTTTATTCTGAAAATGGTACTAGATTTTCGAATGTCATTATTCTTCTTCCACAAGTATTCCTGATGAGAGTTTTTCACAAAACATGTGTAAATCAGTGGTGGAATTCGAATTAAAATGAAATGCAATGTTTTACTTTCATAGTCCATTCATAGGTTTTCCTCCATATTTCATTTCCCGATTTATGCCTTCTCTCCAACTAGGGCGAAGTTTTCCTCTTTTTCTTCTACTATTGTATGGTTTACCTTTATGATTTCTCTTATTCTACTGTTAGGAACTCTCTTCAATCTTGATTTCCCTGCCGAACGTCTCCAGAAATCCATTTCAATTGCCGCAAGTTATAAGTATCGTTGTTTCTTTATCTGCCATACTTCACTGCTGTAGGTGATTACACTGTTAATAATTATCATACGTTAGTTATTATTTGTTGTTGATTGGTCCCAAACTATATTATTTAAAAGGGGTATTGCTTTTATTCCCTGGTTGTTTCTTTTTTCTTTGGTATCCACTACATTGCCTTCTTTTGTCATGATCATATCATACCCAAGTACTTAAATTTGTCGAAAACTCTCATAATTTCTTCATCTTCCAACGCGAGGTCCTGCTGTATCACACCGATACACATACATTCTTTCTTTCTTATGTTGATTACAAGCCCATATTTTTTATATTCCACGATTAATTTGTACTGTTACTACCCTAACGAGCATAAAATAATAATAATAACAATAAACTGTGCCATCTTCAATGTAGTCCAGTTTCTGACCTTTTCATTTATTCTTGCAGCTTTTAAATGCGGCGAAGTCTTTTAATTTCATGAACAATTTACTTCATTTATCTTCAAAGAATTCACAAAATTTCTCAGCTGAGGCACAAAGTTCTGTGTCACAATCATTGAGTAAATACTCGACTTGAACGATTTTGAAATCTTCGAATAGTTTGCATTCTTTGCATTCTAGTTTGAAGCTCTTGGTATAGCTTATCTTAAACATTCAAGCATAGATCTTTAAAGGCCGTATGACACTATGCATTTTCTTGTATCATTTCTTATATCGTTTCTGATATAACAAAAAATGGATAGTGACATACAAGCGTATAGTTCTTATATCAGAAACGAAACAAGGAATTTGCCAATTTGTGCGCAAAAACGTAAAACTTGACATAATAGCGGCTGGAGGAGAACTTTGATATACAATTAGACCAAACAGACATCAGATAAAAGTGCCCACCAACAATAACCAATATTAGAACAGCAGTAGCCAAATTGAAAAACAATAAATCACAGGGATTGGATCAAATAGCATCGGAACTACTGAAAGTAGGAGGAAATGTATTACTAAAAACTATACATAACCGCTCTAAAAATTCGTAATGAGTTTAAAGATTATTTTATATCTCCAAATAAGAGAGTAGAATTTCAAGAGCATGACATTCAAACACACAATTTGTAAAAAAAAACAAATAAATAATTACAACTAAACTATTTATTATTTCTGTCTTCCATTACAGCCTAATGAATATCTTCAAAAATTGTGGTTTCCAATTTAGTTTTTGTTGTATTATTAAGAAACGTAGGCTTTTTAAATTATTATTAACTCTTTTATTTAAGAACCATTACAATATCGGCATGGCACGAAGTGTCAGCCTTCAATTATATGTCAACCAACATCAAACATAAAACTAATATGACATCTAACATAAAACATAAAACTAATAGAATAGTACTTAAAACTAAATATATGACAGTTTTAATATTGGGACATTTTATTTCTTTCATTTTTGCACCACAGTGTATTTTAAAAAATAATCAGTAGCATCTGGCTTGGGGTCCTAGATACTGCAGTTCTATTTTTATAGGTGTCAAAATTTCGACCAATCATGTGCCGAATCACATACAATTTCCGGTAAACGAACTTGCATAGTGTCATACAGAGCACAAATGTACGTGTAAGAAACGATACAAGAAAACATAAATAACTTTCTATATCAGAAACGATATAAGAAATGATAAAAGAAAATGCATAGGGTCCTACGGCCTTTAGTTTCAACTTCGAGCGATAGCCCAGCAAATCTATAAATTCATTTTGTGGGTCTAGGCTAGCTATTCCCTATTTGAATAAGCTTTTTATGTGACTTCAACGTGCATTACAATACCTCCAATTTTTTATGAAAGAAAACATAAAGTAATTTTTTAATTTTTATGCCAATTTCGAGCCCTCACGCCCTACGCCACTGCTCGTCCATTCTGACTTTCTTATTTATGGCAGATAGATATGAATATCTTTCATTCTTCTGCGATTTCCGGTCCATTAATGCAACTTTGGAAAAGTCTGGCTAGGCTTTCATATATTTTGGTGTGTCGTATTTCAAGGAAGAATTCACAAATGGATTTTCCTTTTGTGTGCAAGGAAATTGCACACAAAAAAAACAACAAGCTAAAAATTATTAAAAATATATTCTATAACAAATAACATCAATCCATAACAAAAATAAATTTAATAAATTTCAGATTTGTATATAAGCAAAATATTATTGTATAACTTCGTATTCTTTAACCACTGAGCTCCCCACCAACATTCTATGAATATCGTTAACACCTCCGTATATCTCAGTGATTCTGGCATCTCTGTAATGTCTCTCAGCTGGCATATCCGACACATATCCCATCCCGCCGAGAACTTGGATAGCACCGTGAGTTATGAAAGTGGCAGCTTCGCTAGCAGCTAGTTTGGCCATCGAAGTTTCTTTGGTGGTTCTGGAAGGATCATCACAAAGCACTGCTGCTTTCCACACCAGAAGTCTTGCTGATTCCAAGCGAAGAGCCATCTCTCCCAGGCGCAACTAAAATAAATCCTTTTATATATTAAACCATAAATATAATATATATATATATATATATATATATATATATATATATATATATATATATAATGATTTTTACCTTCACAGCATCTAATTCGCTAATTGTCTTCCCGAAAGCTTTCCTCTGCAGCGAATAACATGCAGCCAAGTCCAGAGCAGCTTGTCCAATTCCAACAGCCTGAGCTGCAATTCCAACTCGAGCTCTGTCCAGTTGTTCCATTGCAATTCTGAAACCGCCACCTAAAACACGTTGAATATACTTTAAAACACATCAAACAACTGTTTATCCTATTTATTTTTATTGATGGTGAACATGTTTGGTTTCAGAAAAGATCCTCTACAATAAGAAAACGCAAGAAAATATTATCTTCAAAATTACAAGGTTGGGATACTTACAAAAGGAAAGCTAAATTAACTGCAGCAATAGCGTATAAAAAACTATTTGATATCAAACAATAACAAACCATACAGGTACAAAAAAGCAAGATGTTACGGAAAAAGGAACAATTTGACAATTCGCTAACAGATTTCATAATAATAATAAAGAATATAGAAAATAGAAGAGAAAATAATAAGAATAAAGAAACAAATTTTCATATTCTATTCACTGATCTTGCGAAAGCATATTATTACGAGGTATGTGATGAAAGACTAACGAATACATGATGTCGATAGCTAAATCGATTCAGTCATACTAGAGTTATTTCTTTTCAGAAGACACCAACTTTTTGAGGCAAGTGATGAGGATCCAGTAATTCCGATTTGTTGACCGCCCAAATTGCATGAGTTGTTTTCAGTGGAGTTTTTTTTAGCTCTTTTTGAGCACTGCATCAATGAAATTTTGCTAAATTTACGTAAACATATTTACATACACGTCAACAAAGCCTTTGGGTTGACTTACCGTGCATTTTTTACTTTGCAACTTATAATGAAAAAATTTAAAAACAAAAAAGACAAGTGGTAATTATAAAAAAAGCAAACGAGTTCAAGAGATTTTCGAATTAAATTTGTTATCCCGATATCAACTTCCGATCTTTATGAATCTTTAATAAACATTTGTATTGTATGATAATTATTATAAGAAGTACTTATTATTTTTATCTTCGGAATGTGTCAATCTGGATATTAACAACTTATAGAGATAACAATTAAAGAATTTAAATAATTTGTTATTTCAAATTACACCAATTACACCAATTACATTTTGGTTTTAAAAAAAGACCATTATTTTGACGTTTTCACAAGGTCTCACTTGCCATTGTCGAGTCAGTTAGTAACGCTTCTCGCTGGTGCTTGAAGTAAGTAAACCAGCTTGTGCACCAGCAAGTGCGACCTTGCCAAAACGTCGTCAAAATATTGGTTTTTCTCAAAAATTAAATAATTCAACGCGGAGTCAAACCTGGAGAGAGATTTCGTTAGTACAATTAAACCTATTTATAATTTATAAGCTTATATCTTACCATGTTGATCTTTTATCTTGATGTGTCCAATCGAATACATATCTCAAACATACATCATTTTCTTATACAAATTTTACATACCCTGTGTCATGATCATATTCTTGTAATTGTTCTATTGATATTGCTACTCAAGGTTTTGGATTACCAAACTATAGAAGCCACTTCAGAATTGCATGATAGTCACGAAGAAAGAACTTTTACCCATACAAATATTTTTGAAAATGATACAAGCCTTCACGAATGCTTGAAGTTTTCTTGGGTAATGCAATGGGTTCTTTCTATTTCGACAAAAGTTTCCTCAAGTAAGCAATGATTTTTTCCTCTCTACCTTGAACTTGAGATAAAAGTGGCTCCCGGTGTTCTAGCATTTCTAATTAATACGGCAGTGTTGCTTGTATGCCATCTGTATTCAAAATTAATTTTTTTCTGGCCTTGAACAGCTTAATATCGGTACTAATACAGGTACAGTTCTTTAGAACTTGTCAAAGCTTTATGAAATTCAGCATTCCACATATATTCGTCAAAAGGAAGATTAAAAACAATACGAACAGAAAAGAGAAGAAACTTAATAACACCTGTTAGAAAAAAAGGATACAAAAATAAAAATAAATGTGCAAAAATAGCAATGCAAACCTTGAATCTCTTAAACCTATATACTTATGTATATAATTCTAACAATCGCCATAATTTAAAAAGCAACAATTATTTATGACTAATAAAAAATATATGGTTAAATAAAAATCTTACCAATAGAACCTAAAATATTTTCTTTGGGTACTTTAACATCTTCCAAAATTAAATTACATGTTGAGGATGCTCTAATGCCTAATTTATCTTCTTTTTTGCCTAATGTCAGTCCTTGGCTTGGGATAGGAACTATAAATGCTGTAATACCTACAAAAATATATAAAATAAAAGTATCATATAAACTAAACAAGGTTAAGAAACGGCAGGATAGAGAAAGTATTTTGTGATTATAATGCATATTTATGTGGTAAAATGAAAAAGGTACTTTATGATAGATAGGCATTTAAAAACCCTTACTAACCTTTGTGTTTTAATGCTTTATCTACAGTAGCAAATACAACAGCAGCCTTTCCTTGTAAACCACTTGTTACCCATGATTTATTTCCATTCAATATATAATGGTCTCCATCCTTATCTGCTGTGCATGACATTGCTCCTACATCACTTCCAGCATCTATAATGAATTAACTTGACTTTAAAAACCATAATAAAGAAATACAAAAATGTTTCTGTGCCTTTTTTAGAGGTGGATTTACTAATACCAAATTAATAGACAAGCAAAGAGAAGACATACAGATTTAGTGTTCAAAGGTAATTTTTACTATTAACGATATCGGTGATGTAACTGTTACTCTTCATACACATTGGAAGTTACTTCGATTTTTATTTGTTTACAGTAAATTTTACTCTGAGATATTTGTATCTACATTTTCACCCTTGATCTTGATGTTTTGGACATTGAGCTTATCAAATTCTCAGGGCTGAATCATTTCTCTGACTATATTTACAATATGGCACTTGTCTAGTAAAAAGTGCAGAGTAATGTTATTCAAGAAACATTTTTTAGCCATTTTTTTCAAATGATCTATATAAAACATATTATTTGGTGTCACCACTACAGTATTGTCACTCTAAAAACCAAAACCAGTGGAGTTTGGTAGCTGTGATAGAGTGTTCAATGCTAGACAGAACCTCAGTGGATTCAAGTCTTTAGAATAAACAAAAATAAGAGCAAAAATATAGTTTGCTATGTTGCCAATATTTTGTTAAAAATAATAAATATAACAGTTTTCGAAATAAAATTTGATAGGACCATGTACCTGTAGGTAATATTCTCTTCCCATGTCCAATTTTAATTTAATATCACCAGAATGGTAAACAATGATCCAAGAAAATTACCTGGCTCACTTAGTGCAAAACATCCCAATGTTCCTTTAGTAAAAGCTCTTAAATATTGCTCTTTCTGATCTGGAGTCCCTAATCTGTCCACCAGACTGGCATATAAACAGTTATGGATTGAAACTATTGCTCCTGTACCAGCACATCCTTTGGATATTTCTTCAACAGCTACAGCCATACCTAGACCATCATAACCAGAACCTCCATATTCTTTAGATACACATATACCTAGAATACCTAGTTCAGCTAATTTCTTGATCTAAAAAAAGCAGAAAATTCAAGAATTTGTTTTAATATTACAGTGCTCATCTGAACAGTTATTTGAAGGACTGTGACTTGATAGTATAGACTTTAAGTTACTAAATGTTTAATTGAATTGCAGAGAAATTTCAAATAACAAGGTATGATGATTGGCTGATATTAATCAAGAGTGTATTTCACCTAAATTCTAATAAATAGTCTAATGGTTCCAATGGCAATCTAACTAATTAGGAACAGGTCGTAATGTATTACCCTTGATAACATTTGACAATCTATAAAACAAATGATCCTTAAGTTGAAAGAAGCAAAAAATATTGAGGAATGTCCAAATCTTAAGAAGTAGACATGGCACTAATAGAGCACCAATTTATGTGTCCCATCCCACACTCTACTTTCATATCAAATTAGGAATTAATAATCTGACAACTTTGATTTAAATTGGTCATAACCAAAGCCTTCAATCTCATGAAACAAAAAGACCTTAATTTGAAAGTCCATCCATTTAATGAAATTAGTTATAATTATTAGTTAGATTTACTTTCTAAATTACACATTCAAGTTTTTAGAGGCTATGATAGTTTTTTAAGTAAAAAATATAGATTTTTACTTGACTGTTAAATTAATTTTGTTTGACAATTAATGAAATAAGGTCCCAGCTTAACTTCAATAAGAAGTACTCTTCACAACATAATATTTTAGCCACTAAGAGTGCCTAATTCTGGTAACTGCAAATTACCTATTGTATTTTTGTCTTTGGCTATGCTTTTTGAAGCTCTTTCCTTAGGTTCCTAATCCTTAGATGTATGTTACCATGTAATCTTCAATCTATTATATGACTAGAAGACAACTATAATAAATTACGTCATAACCTAGTCTAGAAATAAACAAACTATCAATTTGATGGGAACATTTATTACATGTATCCTATAGCTTTAAACCATAAGGAGTATGTAGTTAATGTAATACATCCAATCCAGTAATTAAGCTATGTAAGAAAAAGAAAATAATATTTTTTTCCTGGAAGCTGTCTGTTATAAACTGGTAATAATTGGAAAGCAATATTGCAAGGAAAAAGATCATTCATTATATTGAGCTTCTCTTTCCTTCTAGTAATTAATGTATAATATGACTTACTTGCTTTTCTGGAAATTTATGCTCTCTATCTAATAGAGAAGCTATGGGCTTAAGTTCCTTTTCTGCAAAATCCCTACAAGTCTTTTGAAGTATCTTATGAGTTTCTGGCAATTTGTGTAAACTAAAACATCTTGAAATTATGGCAGTTGTTCCTGAAACTTAAAAATGTAAACTTCCAGATTAAATCAACTAAAAAATATGACATACCTTTACATAAAAGATGGGAGGTGGAATAATTTAGGGCCATGTTTGTATAAAAAATTGAATATGAATGTGAGAATGATTGCACTTCTTTATTAATGATAGAAAAAAACCAAATTAATCATGACCTTGGATTAATTTGGTTTTTATGTTTGATATGATTGCACTGATAATATTTTTACATCTCATTCCCATTTGAGTAGTTACAATAGAAGCCACACTTATTTAAATAACACATGATAATTGATAATTTCTATTTACATTATTAAAATTCTGTATGCCAAATCACCCAAATTGTCAAGTATGCCTTTATTTTTAAGGAAGTGAGGTTATGAATATTAATCACAAGAATCACAACAATCAGACAAAGTGACAGCAGCAGACAGCAAAAACAGTGAGCTGTGATTTATTATATAATAGAGATGTGTATTTTGAAATCAGGATACAACTTTTTAGGTAGATGTAGGAAACTGTTTTACAAAGAATATAATTCTAATTTAACAAAATTTATTAACTACTTTTTTACTTTTAATGTTTTTAACATTTAAACTTATATAATAATAATTATTGGCACCTCTTGAGTATAAAAAATGCCGTGTTTAATGGTGAGAGACGTTACTATAGAAATTCCATTGATGACAGAAATGTTGCACCTCTAGTAAATCATAATTTCTGGAATTTATTACAGGACAGGCTCAACCCAAATAATAAATTATTCCTAATATTTTAAAGTTTAAAATGAAATGTCAAATTGAAAGACAAATATAAAATTTAAGTTATTATTTCATGTCAGTTGTACACAAAATTAATGGATGCTAAAGACACCGAAGAATTTAAAAATGCTATAAGAGATATAGCATCTCACGCACATCAGTTAGATAACCCCTTTGACAGGGTAAGGTGCGTAGAATGGTGTAGAAAACTATCAGGATTGTCGGAAGAAGATCTCGAATGCTGCAAATTAAAGAATGAGTATGCCCAGTTGCTGAGAATTCAAGTTAGACATAAATTTCTACATGGACCCTTTGTCACACCTCCACCTGACGATAAACTAAGTTCTCTTCCAGAATGCCTCGGTAATCTTATGGCTCAACAGGTAACTAACTCTAATATATTTTTTAAATATTAGGCAGTTAAACACCATTGTTACGTTCAATATTCTGTAACATAGAAATTCTACTTAATCGTGATCATATGATACCTATTAGGCGAAACTGAGGAGAGGAGTAAGTAGTTATTATTATTAAAAGTTAATCCTACAATATGGAAATGGGTCATCTGGAATATATAAAATATTAAGCTAATAGAAAAATTAACAACACAGATTTTTATAGTTAGCAATCTTTTAATTGATAATTAATATCCCTTAAAAGCAATAACTTTTTCGATTTTTAGATTCCATACCTTCCTAGAGTCGGACCAATATCTCCAATAATTCACCATAGATCACCTGACGGTAGAGCATACATATCGACGAAACAAATTCCTGGCGGTGGAGTATTTTGCTATATGGCTGTTAGTCCCGATGGTTTGAAATGCACGCTGAATTAATTATTTTTAAATATTACAGTGTATATATTAATCAAGTGCATATATTTAAATGAATTTTAATTAGAGACATTTAAGTAAATTGTGGAGATATTTTTTTCATTTGCGACATGATATTTAAAAAAAATATTAAACTTTGTGCAATCATTTGAAGACCTTTATGTTGTCATAAATAATGGAACAAGATTTTTGTTAAGGTGAACCCGTCGAAGTGTGAACTAGTTTTCAGTTAGATGATTTTTATGACATATTTTGCATGATTTAGGAGATGTCATATTTTTTTCCTAGAATGCTTACGGACTTTACTACATATAGTTCAATTTGATCACGTTCGTAACATCAGATGTGGAAATTATTACAACAGCGTGTGATATTTTTTGGCAAGTGTAAATAATTTAAAAGTGCAAGAAAAAATGAATTTTTTGGTGTTTAAAAAATTTTAATTTATTTATTTTTAAGCAAGTTACAAACTTTTAAAGATTTAAAGGTTCAACCCGACAAAATTTACGTCAAAAATAAATTGATCCCTTCTGTATTTAACGGGTTCTGCTAAAGTTTTTACGATATCGTCTTCAACTATCATATCCGTGTCTTCTATATCAGGTCAAAATAGGTGTTACTTTTCTTTTTATATCTTAAAAAGCAAAATTTCCATTCATTTTCAATCTTGTTATCAATTCTTCCAATAAAATGTTTAATATGATTTTTAGATGTGTACTCTACAACAACCCGAATACCTAGCGCGATTTGGGTCTTTCCCAACTCTCCAACTGCTGGCACTTCTTTCTTAATTATTTGCTTGTTTTCTTCAAATATTTCAGGATCTAAATCATATTCAGAGTCAACATACTCTACCAAATCTTCTTCCGATTCTGAGCTACTAAAAGTTTCTTCTCGTTTATTAATCCTCTTCGGTTTTTGAATTTTTGCTTCTTTTTTCTTTCTACATTCTCCTTCTTTTGTTTGTTTTTCTGTTTCTTTTATGTTCTTCAATATATTTTCGTCTGTAAGTTTATTCAAAACTTCTTCGGAAGTAACGACTTCTGCCCCTGTAGCTACTTTTTTCTTTTTGAGCCCTTTGCTCAGGACTTTGCTTATTTGTCTGTTTAACAGTGTTTAATAGCAGCTCCTTAAAACTTATTTTTGAAGAATTACTCCTTGGAGTTGCATCAGAAATATTGGTTATACGATTTTCCACAATCTGGTCTTTATTTGCCGATTGATCAATATTGCTGGCGGTAGTAGCACCCATATTAGTATTTGTGGTTTCAGCTACAACTATTGTTTGGTCTTCTAAACTCTTTTGTTCTTTCATCATTTTGGGCTTTCACGGTGGTATTTTTCCTCAGATGTGACATGACGGTTAAATGGATATATACTAGCTTTTCTAAACCCGTTTTTTATAATTTCTACGCTTACGTTTTTCCATCTGGTGCCTATCGTAAGAGAAAACTCTTTTTTTTGGAATTTTAAGGCCAGTATTATGTCTTTGCCAGGTTACGAGTTACTGGTCCCAAGCATCTTTTAGATACTTAAATATTGCTAAATCCAAATACTGCAGAAGGTTGCTGGTATGAGGAGGAAGTTTTATAATTGTGATATCATTCTGTCGTACTAATTCAACTAGTTCAATACTAATATGGGTACTATGACCGTTATATATCAACAATACCGGCCTATTTTGTCCTAATGCGGAGAAAAACGTTTTTTTAAATAATTAAAAAATACGTCACTCTCCATCCATCCATTGGGACTGGCTGCAAAGCAGTGCTCGGAAATGAGTTCTTGATATCTGGTAGCCAGGAATCCCAAATATTTTTCCCTTGAATACGATTAGTGGTGGTGCCTTCGTCCCTGATGCAAACACTGCTGAAAGAACCATGGTGTTTTCTCTTCCCGGACCGGAAGTAGTTCTGGAACTTGGTTTACCTTTAGCTCCCACGACTTTAGTTTTTTGGGGTCATGAGAAATAAGAAATGGAAAAAAACACGAGTTGCGGCTTGTTCTCTAAATTTAAGTTGAACTCCTGAACCACTCATCCCCAGGAGTATTATTCTTAATGGAGTTATTATGTCATTATTGGTAACAAATTCGCGAACAATCTCTGGTAGTTCCAATCTGGATATTCCAAATCCCCACTGCTCCATAGTTTTTAGTCCTCGGGTCAATCTAGTCTCATCTTGGAATGGAATCGCTGGAGCTCTCCCTTGCAATTTGCTTTTAACTCCTCGAGCACCAGTCACATGGTAGAATGATGTTGTTTTAGGAATATTATACAATTTATGTGCCCAGTATATCAAACAAACTACTCTTTTTATCTCTTACACTGCGTGATTTAAATCATCTTCAGTATATTTGGTTGCTCGATCCAACTTTCGTTTATAGGTTCTCACCATGTTCAATCTAGAATTAAAAATTAAAAGATATTTTTGCAAGTTCACAGTTGCCTCAGTACACGTGCTCACATGTACCACAGTAGGCAATATAAACGAGGTAAGTGTGACCTAAGTCATAATTCAGTTAAAAAATAAAATTGGCAATTTTTTTAATTCACACAAAGTAATATAGTTGTTAAACAATCCTGCATACCATAAAATATTTACTTATCACCTAATACTCGCCTCTCACAAAATTTGTAAACACAGTGTGCACACTAACATTAACAAGTTAATTCGTACTAACATACGGCAACGGCCAAATATCAAATTACTTGTTTTCTACAAACTGCGTATTTGAATAGATCGCTGTTTCAAGAACTTAAGTTTTTACTTACAAGATGCCGCTGGCATCCCTAAATTGTAAAAAATTTTATATAGTATAGTCACACTTGCCCCACAATCACACTTCCCGGGTTTACCTCAGTGAATATAGAAAAACTGTCTCTTTAAAGGCATGTATAGTAGTGGGCTTGGAAATATAAACTAATAATTAAAAAAAGAGAGATGAGGCGCTGCGGGTGCCCGGCATATTGGAAATAATAAAATTAATTTGCATGTAAAGATGGTCTGTTAAAGAAAATTGATATAAAAAAATATTGGCAGCTGTTCCATCAGTTATCTGGTTTGTACATCCAATGACACTACAACCTGGCCGTTGGCACCCTTCAGTAAATTTCTTCAAAGATCTCTATCTACTTCTGTGCTAAACGTGTTTTAGGAGTTTTTGGCAACCTCATCTATTTCGTCCTCCCATCTCTTGAGTGGTCTTCCAAAAGGTCTTATTCCTTGCGTTCTTGCCTTTAGTAATTTTCTGGGAATTCTGTTTTCATACATCCGGACTATCTGTTCTGCTCACCGTAATCGCTGCAGCCTAGTGTATCGTGCTAGTGTTGATCCTTTATATAGTTCGTATAAAAATTCTTTATTATATCTATATCGCCAATTGTATCTTTTACTAGTTGGACCCTGTATCATCCGCCATATTTTTTTGGAACGCGTCTAATGGCAATCGAACGTCTAAATACCAGATCTATTAGAATTTTAAACTACTACGTTAGCCTTTTGTTTCCTGGCCAGGGTCTGAGCCATCGACCCAGGAGTGGCGGGTTTTTCGGTCAAAAGGTGGAGAAAAAAGGCAAAGATGATGGCTACTTCATCTATTTATTGAAAACGTTTCGCTTTCGAATCAGAAAGCATCATCAGTTCATCAAAAAACAACAATATGAAAAACCTAACATCCAAAGAAAAGTTATTAAGTGTGTTACCTCAAAAAGATATGTAGCAGTCAATGATATTAAAATTGTAAAGAAGCTTCCGACAACGGACATTATAAAATTATGTTGTATAAACAATAAATTGAACTAAATATAGTTAACAATTTTCATAAACTTAGCACAGCAAAAGAACATGTGGTAGTTGTACATGTATATAAAAAATTTATGTAAAAAATATAAAAAAGCACATTAATGTGAAGAAGAACTAAAAGATCTAAGATGTGCTTCCAACAGTATATCAATAGTTAAGATTTAATTTTTTTGACTTTAGGTAGCATTATTAAAGTGATTAATTGAAATTTAGCAATTTAAAAGTATAATGAAGTTACCACTACAAGCTTCTAGTCTGTTGCCGGTGAAATGGAGGCAACAGGTGTTGTAACGCCACCAACGTGAAAAGACAGAGGCCTTGAGGTCAACGCGTGACAGAACAACAAGGCGTACTACTACCAACTCTAATACAATAGAGAGGTTTATTTAAAAAATATGACAAATTTGGTCGACAACCTATCTGAATAAACCAAAAAATGAAAGAAAAAGGTGGTTGAGAACACCATTTTCCCCCCAGTGATCGGTTGAGATGAACAAAGAACAAACAAGCGAGGTCAATCCAAAAAATCATTATTAATAGTCTACGTTGTGACTGGTTAGCCAGCCACAGGCGAAGATTGATTAAACTTCAAACAGTCCAAGGTTCATAACATTTGGAACTGAAATTAATAGGGATTCTATGAATCATTTATAGTAATAAAGTTGTATTTAACTATTTGATTAGAAACATTTAATTCAAATATACAAAAGCAACGTTGACAGTAAGCCACGAAATGTAAGTTGCATAAATCTGGATAATTTAAAGTAGGAAATTATTATTTTATTTATATTTGAATATTACTTGAAAAGAAATTATGTAAAGCAAACACCTTAGGTGACAATTTTAAAGTAAATAACATATTAAGCCTAATTCTGCAATATTAGAGCATGATAAATTTGGCTCAAGTTACTAATGTCCGTTCTCTTGTTAAGAGCGTTATTGTACTCTTCGAGTGATCCTTAATTTATATTGGATTTACGGTCGTACTCCGTATATATATATATATATATATATATATATATATAATATATATATTATATATATATATATATATAAAATATATATAATATATATATATATATATATATATATATATATATATATATATATATATATATATATATATATATATATATATATACAAACTGCTCAAAGGAATCATTTGAAGCATCCTTTTATTATTAGAAAATTAGCTGGTCGTGACTGGACAAGGGATTTCATAAGAATTCCAAGAAAGACAAGTGTGCCAAGAACAATGGATTTCAATAAAGTGTGTGAAAGATATGTCACGGAAACAAGCCATTAGAATGTTTTATTTATGTTTAAAGATATTTTTTGTTATTGTTTGGTTTTATTTTTTTGATATATGTATACGTCACTGAAGTTATAATTTCTATTTCTACTTTTACATCTTTAATATAATTTATTCGCAATTCTAAGGTTTCTCTATTGGCAGTTGACAAAATGTGTGATATACTTAACGGGAGCAAATATATCATTTCAATAAGAGTTTGAATTGATTTATTAGATTTTTCTAAATATTTGTTGCAGCCAAAGAAAATATAGTTAAGATCTCTGTAAGAATTTATATCACAGCTGCAGGATGGTGACTGTAATATGCCAAGCTTAAATAAATGTTACGGGAATTGACCATGATTCGTTTTTAGGCGAAATACACTTGCTGAGAAGAATTTGGTAGTCAAGTAATTGAATATGTGTTGGGGTATGAGTGGTAAAATGTGGTGTATCTGGAAGTACGTATTTTGCGAGTTTTCAACAATATTCTCCCATTGCTGTTCCTATTTTGGACTGCTTCCTTAGCTAGAGTATCAGGTTTTTCATTCCCATTCCCCATGTATTCTTACTCGTAGTTTCTATTAAATAACAAAATCGAAATAAAATTAATGTCTTTATTATAGTATTACATATATATCTTTTACACAAATAAAAATTTTAATAAAAATCCTTCCGTTTGACTAATAACATGGTTATAATAGTAATTAAGGAGTATAGGAGAAAGTTATCACAAAAATGCTAATAAACTATTTAGTCAAAACTAATTAACTCAGCCGTTTGTGCTTCGCCATTTGATTGTACTTGGGGACTGGCTGGCGGAGCTCCAGGTTGTTGAAATTGTGGCGTCACCTACAAGAAAACGATGTTAAATTATTATTGACACTTATATGTTTCATAATCTGTTTTGATAATTACACCAAATAGTTAGAAAACATGTGGAAGTGATTGAAGACAAACTGGACCAACGATGTTAACGAATAATTTTGAAGAAAGTGACAGGTGACAGCAGGAGAGAGAATGAGAGAAGACCATTCTCTATCCTGCTGTCACCCATTTTGAAGAGGCTCTAAAAGATATTGATGAAGGCATCTCAATAAATGGAGTCAAGCTCAAGGTCATTTTTCTTTAATATAAATTTGAATACAAACTGTTTAACTTTACGATCTCGATGACTCTATATCATAAGTTGATATTAAACGCATTGCCTACCTGCCCTTGCTGTGGCAACCCCTGGTTTTGTGGAATTCCACCCTGTTGAGGATGCATTCCACCTTGTGGGGGCATTCCTGTTTGGTGAGGCATTCCACCTTGTTGAGGAGGCATACCACTTTGATGTTGACTTGGCATACCACCTTGATTATGGTGTCCAGGTGGCATGTTAGGTATTCCAACAGCAGGAATTGCGGTTCCTAACATTGGTTGTGATGGGACTCCATGTGGACCATATCGGGAATGGGGGTTATTAGGAATGGACGTGGTAGATGATGGTGGACCTTGGGGGAAACCTGGCGGAGGCCCAAGTGCTGGATTGTGGGCTTGTTGAGGAGGCAAAGAACCTAAAACGTAATTACAAATTTATTATAGTTAATCTAAAACGTTTAAATATTCTAAAATCTTTATTCTTTATTGATGCTTACCATGAGGTGGTCCTTGGTTAACAGGTACCTGTCCTGGAGCACTCTGAGGTGGTATCATATGTTGCTGCGGGAATGGATATGTGTTATAGTTACCCATAGGAGGAGCTGTGTTCGGGGGGAATGGCTGTCCATGTACAGGAGATCCCATATATCCAAATGGTGGAATCATGTACTGTTGTTTTTGTTGTTCTTGTCTCATTTGCATTTCTCTCTCCTGTTCTTGAACACGTTGTAAAGCCAGCTCCCTTTGATATTGAAGATATTCCTGCAATTAAAAAAAATTGATTATTTAATATAGCTAATGATCACACAAAAATTTGTATAAATTTATTTCCAATAATACGAAGTAAATATATAGAGTGCTTCAGCATTCATGTTTTTAAAGATTCTTCCCATTTAACCGATGTAAATTTTAGCTAAAAGCTAAGAAATATTTTTAAAGTGTTTTAATTAAAAAATGTCATGAATAAAATGGTCACTGCACATAAAGTTTCGAAAGTTATGATTTCAAAATCTATTTTATACGATACCTACTAACCTCTTTCTTCTTTCTCATAACTTCTAGTTTAAGAGCCATTTGCATCTGGCGCATTCTCTCTTGTTCTTCAGCCTCCCTTCTTAGTTTTTCATGATGCTCTTCACGAAGAGCATCCAATGCAGCGCGAGCATCCTTCACTTGTGTTAGTTTGTCTTGGAGACGTTCATAGTGAATTCGACTATCGTCGTGCTCCTGAATGTAATGTAAAAGTTTCGAATGCATAGCGGTGATGTTCATAAAAAGCGTCTGGACTCCAGTGTCATTAGTAATTGATCTAGAAGTAAAATAAGTGTTTTAAATAATTTTTGGACAAAAAATTATGTTAGAAAAAACCACTGCATCTCATTGTATATGACATGTTTTGCAACAATACTTTGGCTCTTCGAATTTTACTGTACAAAAGACAGAATCTCTACAGTTCAGAGTGCAGCAGCTAACTTGTATATCCTTGATTATCTGATTTCTTTAAAACACAACTTTAAAAGTAAAATAAAATAAACTAAAACATGTTTAAAGCCTTTTGGTTACTTTTGTAACGTATATAGGAGTTATTTTTCAGTAATGTAATACAATTCATAAACAAGGGCTTTATAAGTCAAATCTTATTTAACTGTCTGAAGCACTATCTAAAAAAATGAATTTACTTGCTGGATGGTACCAACCTATCATAACTTACTCAAGCCAAAAAGTGCCAACAATCGTATGAATATTCAACAAAACGCTAACAATACAACAACTAGACCTACAATGAGTATAGTAACATCAGTGCCTTTAACCCACTACCCAAAACAACCGCAAGGCAGCTATGCTAATGCAGTAAGAAATGGTACTGAACAACAATCAAACATAAATGACATGATGAACAAATTCTTAAAGGAATTCAAAAACAGGTTCCAACAATTACTGCAACAAAAGCATGGTCATATGCTAACAACGCTTATATCTAAAATTTAATAGCTTCATTAAAATAGCAGAGTGGAATGCCAATGGACTTCCAAAGCACAAAAATGAGGTCGAGTTATTTCTACTAAACAACGAAATTGACATTCTGTTAATAAGTGAATGCCATTTCACAAGTCAAACTTACTTCAAGATATCAGACAGCAAAACCTATTCCTCAAACCACCCAGACAATACAGCCCACGCTGTATTGTCTAGTGTTAGGTAAGTTAGGTTTTACAAACTAACAGTCGCTAAAGAAGACTTCAAAAACTTCTTCGAAACTCTAGGACATAAATTTATTGCAGGGGAAGATTTCAATAGCAACCATATATTATTTGGATCTCGTCTCTATTTATCTATTTATCACTCAGGGCATCTATACCTAGAAATACATCTTGACTCAAAACTCACCTGGAAAGAACATATTCTTAAGAAGCGGAAACAAATTGACCTAAGAATGAAAGATCTAAACTGGTTAGTAGGCAGGAAATCGAAACTGAACCTTGAAAACAAAATCCTTGTATACAAAACCGCCATAAAACCTATCTGGACACATGGAATCCAACTCTGGGGATAAGCAAGCAAGTCAAGCACAGCCATAATTCAAAGATGCCCATCAAAAATACTCCGAACGATGGCTGATGCACCTTGGTATGTGTCAAACCTAACACTTCATGAAGACCTAAGAATCCCGTTCGTACAGGATGTAATCACTAAATACAGCACGAAGCATCATAAAGCACTGGAGTCACATAGTAATCCTTTACTCCAACCTCTGCTAGAACACCAAGCCAATAGAAGACTCAAAAAGGAACTATCCAACTGACCTGAAAAACGGTTAAAGAGGTCTTGTCACTAGAGAAGACCTCACCACGCCAATAGGAGCCCCTTGCTCCGCAGCCAGCAAATTTATTTGTGTCTGATTGCTAAAGATTGTGTCATAATAATAAAAAAAATTATTGTAGAAAGTGTACACAAATGTTTCATGTTCATCTGGATAAAAATTTAATGATGGCAATAGTAATACTACTAAAAAGTTTCTTTAGTTATATACATGGACGTATAAACATAGATGGACACAGCAATAAGATACCTTTAACACACAATGTTTTGAAGCTTCGATAGAATGTGAAGCTTCCTCAATGAGTATAAGCGTGCTTGAATTTTTACTCGCGGGTAATTATTCAGATTTTAAAAATTGGAAGTAGTAATAATGTATAAAAACACGTTCAAAGAATTAAAAAAAAACGAGAATTTAACTATTAACAAATCACGTCTTTATAGAAAAATTAAAATACAATTTTATTATATCTTGTTGAATACATTAATGAACATGAATAAACCCAATGGTACGCCTATTAAAATGTAAACAAACACGCTTTTTCATTTCCTCATCTTAAATAATGTAAATTGTATGTACTTACAAATGAACTGAGAGACCGGGATGTAAATATTTCGTTTATTTTATTTCACTTTTCACAAATATCACTCAAAATACAGCCAAAATATCTAACAACAATTTTTCCTTATTTCCTCAATCGTTGTAAACAAACATGGAATAGCATTTGAAGTTTGACGTAGAACCGTAAAACAGAGAAATGTAAACAACCGTTGCCATTTATAAATAGTTTTCAGTGCTTCTAAATATAAAATAATTGATTGATATCTATTATACGTTATTATTAAATGATAATGCACACTATGTGCACACTTGATATTTGATTATAATTAGATATATTAATATAACCAATAAATTATTATCTTGGTTTGATAGCACCTGTAGAGTATAAAATATGGAGTAATATTTTCAGCGACTCGCGAATAAGAAATTTTAATAAAAAAACGTGACAACAGTTGGAGGTGCTGAGAATGTGACATATTCAAATAATTTTGACTTCACAATTTTATGTAAATAACTGAGTCCATCTGTGTTTATACGTCCATGGTTATATACAACAATACCCTTACCTTCCTCTACTAGAATTACTTTTCATCCTATTTATAAATATTTCGACTTGGCTCTTTAGAGTTCTCATGAATTCCTCTAGGTCGTTATCAGCTAAACCGTTTTTCCTTTGATTTATATTTAATTATGTCGATATTTTGGGTGGGTGCCGTAGCAGGCGCCGATGGACTTGCTGGACGGCCATGTTCGTTTTGGTCGTTTGTTTGTAGAGATTCCCAATAAGATCGGTTCAGGTATCTGGCTAGCTCTGGATTTGTTTCTTCCTGCTGTGGCGGAGTCTGTGGTCGTTCTACCACTGGAGTCGGTTCCACTGTAATTAAAACATAGATATGAATAGTTTTAAAGCCCTTGGAGTTAATTTTTTTCCGCAATTAATGATATTTACTAAGCTTTTTACTAGCTAAGTCGTGTAAATTAAATGATAGCGCAAGAACCAAAGGACCGAGTGTACATAACTTTAACTTCCTATAATATTTTTTTTAAATAATCAAATTTTAAATATCAATGAAACAAACCTTTAACGTTATAAATATTTGATGTAATCTTAAATTTTTCCTTTTCTTTTGCTTCGGCTTCTGATTGGCTTAAGGCCAAAGCTAACTGGAATTCTTCTTCTTCTCGTAACTCCTCCTCGCTCTTTTTAGGAGGATCCTAAAAATCATATATATTTGAGATAAATGGTTTCCAAATAAATAGAAAAAATGAATAAAAATGCGTCAACATTTTTTTTACCCTAAATTCAGATATAAACTTTGCCTGTGCTGCTGTTGGGTGGATCAAGTAGTTTAACAGCAGGAGAGCGGGTTCCACGGTCGAATAAAAGAGGAAAATGAGAAAAGAGTGAGACCAGAAACCTGCCTCGGTAAAAAAGGAACGATAAATAGACGACTACCAGCCCTAACAACTATATATTGGGACAGATTAAAATATATATAAAATTCAGGTATTTGAATGTTAATTTATTATTATTTTGTAATAATAATGATAATAATGATAAATAAGTAATTTTTAAATGATAAATAATGACAAAACTTAATTAATCTTTTTATACAACCCATATCGAATATTAATGTCATAATCATCATCGAAATATGTAAAAATTAGTAAGTAAATAGTGGGACACTATGAAGTAACTGCTAAAAACCAACAATAATTAGGCTTCGAAAAAAATGCCGCCGGACACTCCAACAAACGTCAAACTATATTCTACTACTATATTCTTCTACTATTATTTCAATAAAATGATTCCTGACATCTCTATAAATTAAAATATTCGTGAATTCGCGATTCAAAATTATTGCCGCAATAAAACAATCCTTGAAGTGACGAATGTACTTATGTAATATTCCTAAAACTACAGTGTGGAATATATTTAAATATTATGGGGAAACATGAAGTATCTTAGATCAAAAAGGTAAAAGCCCGGGTCGTCCAAATATAGTTTCTGATGGCAATAGCAATGCAAAAGCTTACAAAAAAGGTCGAAGAAATACTCTAAGGCAAGTTACAGCTGAATAGAATCACGAAACTGGATCTGATTCGATTCGCGATTCTTTTGTTTTTATTTTTTTTTTCACACATATGCGCGATCCACTTATTCGATCAATTCATTCCATCCGTAGGCCGCGATAAGAAAGCTATGCTTAAAAAATGTGTTTTTATTTACCTGTTTTTGCTGGGCTAATGAACTCTTCAAATATTCCTCTGGAAGCTCTGATTCTGCCTTGGATAAAGCCGCTTTTGAAGCTGCAGATGGTTTAGTTGCTTCATCGTAACACGAATCACAAACTCTTACCTAAAGAAAATATAAAGTTGTTAAATGTTAGTCTTTTACAAAAGTCGATTACATCGTTATATCGATTACATCTAATTGCATATTTACAATATAATATACAAACAATACGGTAATAAGCAAATCTGTTGATACTGATATCTTGGAGGGGTTGCCCCATAGTTCAACACCATATGTCCAGATAGGCTTCGGGAAAGCTTTATATATGAATATTTTACTTTCGATTGATAACTGTGATTGACTTCCAATTAGCCAGTTTTATTTTAAGAGTTGTTGTTTCTTAGCTTTGATGTGGTCTCTAATAGTTAATTTTTAATCCAGGTGCACTCCAAAACATTTTTCCACCTGTTTGATTGGTACGGGGTTATTATTGAAGAAAGTTTGTGAGACATTGCAATGTTTTATGGTAAATGTAGTTTGTGATAATTCAGTGTTATTAACTTTGATTCTCCACTTATTGAACTACTGTTGTAGTGGAATAAGTTTTGTAGGTTTTGAATAGAATCGTTAATTTGACTTAGCCACTGGCGCAACACATTCCAAAGACTTGACCGATTCAAAGATTTCATCGATTTATTCAACTTCATTTCGCGCTTCGCGTTGCTCGACAGTTTGAATTGCTCGTAAGCAACATTTTTAAGAATAAAATTCAACTGAAAATAAAAAATTGACTTTCTTAGTGTTTCTGTATAACCACGTATACCACGTGTTAGTCTATAAAAACTTAAAAAAAAAACGATATTAAATTAAGCTTTTCTAAACTAAAGCCTCTGAGGCGTGATTGCAATGAACTAACAGCGACCTTTGTTATCTAATTTATTTTTAAAAAAATCCAAAACACTCACACTAGATAAACGTTCTTATTGAATGGGCAGTGCACTAAGAATTCAATAAATTCGACCCACTAAAGTAGCTGTTAAACGACATCTGCAACGTGCCATTTATCAAACGTAAAATTTAAATAATCAATAAGTTTTCTGAATTTTTTCAATTTCATGCGCAATTTTCTTACATTTTGTTTCCGTGAGACACTAACATTAATGTTAGTGTCTCGCTTTATGTGTTGCATCATTACAAAGGCAAGGGTTACCTGGCGAAACGTTGATTTAAATTAAATGGAATAATATAATCTATACTAAATTTCAATAAGCAATGTATGGCGTGTAAACAACGATACAATTATATTTTAATCAAACTATGTATTTCTATTTTACAAGATAATACTTCTGGCCAAACGAAAAGATAATCGTAAATTCGGTCCTATTAGAGGCTTATACGTGCTAATGTTTATGTCCCCTACATATATATATATATATAAGAAATGCTGGATATTAGTGACTGTCGATATAAACAAACAACGCAGTTTATTAGGGTTGCAGTCAGAATATTGGCCGGGATGTTAAAAAACACTCTACTCTTCCTACAACGAATCCAATGAATTCTGTATTAGAGATTCTTTTTCATTTAGTAACTTCATTAACAATGTTAAAGTTCCAAATAATTATATATTGATTAGTTTAGATGTTGTGTCACTGTTTACAAACTTACCACTAGATGCTAAACAGCATTAAAAATAACTGGAAAAACATCTCTCCACATACTAAGATCAGTTTAGATGATTTCATAAGAATGTTAACATTTATATTTGATTTTAAAATCTTTTTATTCAATGGTAATTTTTTTAAACAAATTTTTGGCACTCCAATGGGCAGCAAAATATCCCCCATACTATGTAATTTTGTTTTGGATGAACTTATAACAACGTGTAAAGAAAACATACCTTTTCACATACCATTTATTAAACGTTATGTAGATGATTTGATTTTATCGGTCCCTGAAAACAAGGTAACTGATGTTTTAAACACTTTTAACGCCCAATGTGAACACCTAAAGTTTACGGTTGAGAGAGAGGCTGATAATATGATTCCTTTTTTAGACATGCTATTCTATCGTGGCAATGATGGCATGCTAAGGACGGAGAGGTATCGTAAACCTTGTTTTAGTAACCGTTTCATAAACTTTTATTCTCAACATCCATCTAAGATGAAAACAAATTTGGTTTTGGCTTTAAAAACTAGGGTTATCAACTTGTCACACATAGAATTCGGGGACAAGGGACTAAAAAAGTTGAGATCCATACTACAAGAGAATTCTTATCCCATAGGGCTGTTAAATAAACTCATTTTCGGTTCTCCTTTTCCTTCACAAGTTTCTGTCAACCAAAATTTTCATAACAATGAGATCCGACAATTGACATTGACACATAACGCATCAATATTACCATCTAAAATAACGTATGGTTGCCTATCCTACATTCCATTTCTGACACCTAAGCTAATGAACATCTTTAAAAATGTTAATGGCTTAAAAATTACAACCAAAAATGTGAAAACAGTATCGAAGCTTTACACAAAAACAAAAGATCCTTTCACAATACAGGAGTCATCGAATGTTGTTTATTCTATACCGTGTACTAATTGTAATAAAATTTACATAGGAGAATCATCTCGTAATTTTCATAGCAGGGTGATATCACATCGTAGTGATATAAAAACCAAAAAAATCAATGCATGTGCATTGACAGAACATGCACTAACTCTGAAACATGAATTCAATTTCGATGATTCCTGTATTTTGGCAAAAGAAAAGAACCATTCTAAACGTGTTTTTTTGGAAATGTGTTTCATAAAATCTAGCACATCTTGCATCAACAAAAAGTCCGACATAGACAAATTAAGCAACATTTATTGTTATTTACTAGAAAAACACCAAAAATAAAATAAATATTTACCTGTACATAAATTACACCTCTATGTATAATATGTTGCATACCATTAAGACAGGTTTAAAAAGTATAGTCACCTAAGAAGGGCCTCTAGTATTTCTTGAAAAGAAAGATAACATCAATTACACCTAATTACATATTAATTACAGTGTTTTTACTTTCCATTCTCTGTATGAGTTAATATACACCAGTAAAACATGCCATCAACCAAGTTTTACTATTTTTACAATAAATTTTAAAATTTTATAATGTATTCTGTCCATAATTGTATATTTTAATGTGTGGTATAAATGTTGAGTGTCAATGCTTATATAAATAATCTCAACGACTAGTAAGTTACACTGAAGAATTGTGATATTTTTTAAATATTTACATATTTGTCTTATTACAGTGTCTTGAAAAAGGAATAAAACCATTCCGAAAGCTCGACAAAAAGTCAAAAGAGTGTTTTTTTTAACATCCCGGCCAATATTCTTACTGCAACCCTAATATACTGTGTTGTTTGTATATATATATATATATATATATATATATATATATATATATATATATATATATATATATATGTCTTCATATCAAGGCGAGATCCGTTTGTATCATAAGCTATACAAAATGAGATCCGTTTTGCAAGGCGAGATCCGATTTTGGATCTCACCTTGTATTCACGTGTATATAGTGACATCTCGATGTAACAATGATGGGGGTACAAAGAAATCGATTTTTGTCTGGACCTCATTTTGCACCCCTTTTGGTGAATTTTATATTGCAGTAGTTCCACTAAATCCGCTGTAGAGGCAGTGCGAGCGATCCGTTGTGTATATGCTAAATATACATTTTGTAGACAACCCGAGATCCGGTAAATTTGGCAACATCGCAAATGAATTTTACAGTCAGACCTCTCACTCCCTTCGGCTTATTTCTGGTTTGAATAATATTATTTACATTATTAAAGAGCTCTGTCCAGAAAGGCGATTGTCAAATATCTCGAGAACTAGACGTCGTATCGAAAAAACTTAGGAATTCTTTTTTAATGGTTTTTCAAAATCTATATACTTATGCAATAGCAGGGTTCTTATTCTTCCTGCGAACGCGGTGGGTGTAGCAACTTTGAATTTTCAACTGGAACCCTTAATTTTTATTTAAATAAACATTTTGAAATTAGATTAGAACTATTATGGATATAGATATAAAATTAGAATAATTAATTAAATTAGAAATTTATAGTTGAAAATACACAACTTTTGTGTGAATCTATAATAGCTTTTTTAATCAGTGGGAAGAGCTTCAAAATCGTCGTTTTGATGACATTTTTAGGAGTTAGATGATTTTAAGTAATTTTTTAGATAAAATTATGTAGAACACGTTGGTAAGTACTCGAAGTCTAAAAAATTTCGGAGACATTGTTTATTTGTAGTATTATTTTTTTACAATTTTTCTTCGCATATCTTCTCCACTGTTTGTTTTACAAAAAATGTCAAAAACTTATTTTAATCGCTTTTAAAAGACCTACAAAATAAATCTAACCGCGTTCAATTTGAATGAGAGTTACAAACACAAATCTGTTTTGCATATCATTTATAATTAAGGGACCAACTATGCTGTTCACGTACTATATTAAGATTCCACGGAAATATTTTTCAATATATGCAGTTCATTTATGCTAAACTTGGACACTGTACGTCAAATAGTTTACGAGCTATAGCTTTATAAACAAATTAACTTTATATTTCCTTTAAATTCTTTTACTGAAGAAAATCCAAATTTAGCTATACAGCTCGCACTCCCTCGTAGGGGAAAATTCACTCATCCCAGATACCCACATTATCAAAAGGATTGACCTGTGGGACTCTTTCTGTGTTCGATTCCTAGGTAACTTGGTACATTGGGTTTGTCCCAAAAATTTTCATACATTATTATCTAGTATTATATAAAGCTTATTAAGGACGTTGTAACGGCGTTAAAATTCAAAAGCTTGTAATATATAAAACATCTAAAATTGCAACGGTTTTTCCCTGGCAGCAAATTTCACATTCAAGAACAAAAGGATAGTAATAAAAACAATTAAATCTATGTACCTATTTCTTAATTATTATCTTGTGTTAGTTATCTTACTCTATGTTAGACTCTTCATTATTATAAAAAGAAGTAACACTCTCTATGGTTAAAATTGTTCACATTTATCACCTTTTTTTGTAACATTTCACTTGGGCCATAATATATTTACAAGAACCAATGAATTTGATCTCGTTTCCGTTTACATGAGCATTGGAGCCCCCGGACAGTCTGACAATTAGAAAAAAACCAATATAATAATTATTCGTCACAAAAAGGTAAAAATAAACTCATTCTTTACACCTATTAGGAGTATAGTATATGTATGTATGTTTCTTTAACTTGGATTCCGTGCTTAAAACTGGTACCAGCTCTACATTTTCTTTACTCCAGCCAGTTAGCAACAGATTCGGGAGTCAAAGTCTTGGTGTCACACTACATACTCATACCTTCGTTTGGATGAGTATGTACACGAATATTATATATTATACTGTCTGGAGTAGGAGAAAGTTTATATGGACCATTACAAAGATTGTTAGTACTGGTCAAATACAAAACCAATCCTTTTAGGGTTGTAGAGGTTCTTGAACACTATTGATTTTAAAATTCTTGCATAGTCGCCAAATGATTTGCAATTGGAGGGTTTGCCAACGGCTTGGGTTAAACTCATACCTTTAAGAATGTGACACTTTTGTTACTTTATAATGGTAATGGTAGATATTTAGACATAACTGTAAACTGTCCTATTATAGAACCTAAGGCAGATTTATTTGATGGTATCGATAAAACTCCTACAGGTACAAGTGACATTGGATATGCTGTAAATTCATATTTGAAAATATTTTTTTTTACTTACATAGATGGCTTTGGTAAAGACCAATTAGCCAGACGATTTTTTTTTAACTATAATAATTTAAAAAAGAAAACTTAAAAAGAAAACTCATCCTTCTTCACAATAACAATGCTTAAAGTATTAGTAGTGCTTAAAGTTAAGTGTGAGTAGTGTAATTTGTGTTTTTTTTTCTATGTAGAATTTAATTTTGTTTTTAAATATATATATTTTTATTTTCAATTTTTTTTTGTTGCTTTGTTTTTGTTTTTATTTTTGTTTGTTTTTTTTTATATGCACTATTTTTTTTTAATTTTTTTTTTTTTAATTTTTTCGTCGCCTACTTACAAAATCTAACTAGTTGCAGGATTGCTAACAAAGAGGTGGTTAGTAATTTACAATTTCATTTTGCACCGTTTGGTGTGATTATATAAGCCGTACAATATATTAATATTCTTATTAAAAATTATACAAGTTAAATTTATAGGTAAGCAAATTTTGTTATTAATAACTTCATTATAAAATTTATCTGTGCTTTGACTATTTAATGAACAACCAAGTAGAATATGTGTTAAGTCTCCAAGTTCCCCACATAAACATGAGGAATCATCAATTAAACCAATTTTACATTTATAGCTTGGTGACATTGCATGATTTGCTCTTATTCTGTTTAAAGTAATAATAAAGTTCCTGTTGTTTTCGTTGCAGAACCATCTTATAATTGGGATTTGGACTTAACATGATTTATAATTTAATCCTATTTGTTTGCTGTCATATAGTTCTTGCCATTTAGCCTTAAGTTGAACTTTAAGTGTTGAATTCAAATCTGTATATGGAATACACTGGTTCATAGAATCTCTGTGTAAGTCTGAGGCGGATTTTGCAAACTTATCAGCAATTTCGTTTCCTTAAATACCCGAATGCCCTTTGATCCAAACTATTAGCACCTCCCGTTGCGAGCTATGTATTTCGTGATTGGTCTGTAGTATTTCTACTTCTAGATGACTTAACTTCTTGGCCGCACTTATATTTTTTAGTCTCTCTATGACACTTTTGCAATCTGTAAATATAATACTTTTGAGTCTATACGTCCTAAGTATATATTTTAGAGCTTCACTTATTGCAAACATTTCTGCTGTATATATCGTTGCCTCATCTGGTAATCTGAACTCTTCATGATATTTTGAGGTGTGATCGTAAAAAGTGGCACCTGATATTTGAAAATATTCTCATAATATTTATTTTAGTTTCAATTGCCTTGGCTGTTAGTATTTTTTATAAAAGCTCTTGCTCAGCATGAATAATTTTTTTCTTTTCAGAGACAGTTTTATAGTGTCGGAAATGTTGAAAGTACTTATTGTATGCTGATAAAAATTGGGAGTTCTAACAGTAAGAAGAAATTTTGCTAGGCTCTTCTCTATTTTTTTTTTGTATATTTAGTAAGGGTATTTGAAAATTTGGCGATGCAATCTTATTAGCTGAAATTACGAGAAGACGATCTACGCTTTTGAAAAATACATTAAATCGTAAAAAACTGATCATGTAGTTTGTGTACAGAATATTCGTCAATTTTCATCCGTTTTTTTTTTCTATTGTCTACGTTTTGACTTGAGTGGTTGCTTAGGTCTCATGATGCACGAAATTCATCTACCATCATGCCAATCATATTGTAGCTTAACACCCATTCGTCTAGATTGGTGCTGGTTTTAATCAATCTCACGATTTCTCCTGCATCTTTTGAGTTTGTATTTATATGTTTCAAGCTGGATCTACAAATAGTTGGTTAAAGTTTCTGTTCAAACTTTTCACAACAAAATTTTTTCTCATAAAGTCTTCATGCAATTCTGGAGCCTTATCAGCAAGTTTGTACATGTCCAACAAATTTAATGTTCCCCAAAAAGAATAGTTCACATGGTCAAATGCAAAGAAGTAGGGGTACATTTTTCTAAAACTAGAACAAAAATGTATTCTCCAGTTTCCGCTTCTTTTAGCAAACAAAAATGGAAATGGACTTTACGGAAAGAAACATGCCGTAATCTGATTTTTGACTCAAGTTCACTGTCATACCTGCTGCTGTTCATTAAAATAATTTAAAACTTCTAATATTAAAATCTCAGCTCAGTGGATTTCGTGCTATTAGTAAAAAATAATGCACAATGATGCACTTTCGCAATCGAATATACAACACAACAGAATTTCAATGTAAAATCGCCCCTAACAACATTGCCATTACTAAAGTCGATTTGAGGTTGACTTCAGATTATGAATCTCGCCCTTCCTCGCATCTCTGCGTTTGCCACTGTGCGTCGTGACATGCCTTTAGATTTATTTAATTTTTTCTTAAACTATTTATCCAATCGACATTCTAAACAAACCGACATGTTCTCTGATGTTTGGTCTATAACTTTTATAGAAAGCCATTTTCTGCTAGACCCAATATTTTTCGGGGTAGAGCGAGGAGAAACGATTTTAAAAATATGGGTTTTCAGACTCATTCTAAGTCATTTTGTATGAAGGCACTCCGTATACAACAATGGTTTGACGTATTTTTATAAATAAAATAAAAATATTTCTAATGTCCGGATCGATATGCAAATTTGAAGAATGAATTTTCGGATATCGTAGATCCGAAAAAGGACGAAAAACAAAATAGCACTTTTTTGTAAGGCTCCCCACCACTCTCCTCACGCTACGATTTTTGGACGACCAAGTGATTTTGCATAAGAAAGATATTAGAAACGAATAAAAATAGGTTTTGCATTTTAGTAACAAAGTGCCCACCAAAATCTATTCTAGAAGCCTTTTTCCAGTCTATTTACTCTTCAGTATGGAATTGTATTTACTCTTGTACAAAACTAATATTTTTATGTTAAAACACGATTAGAATGTTAAAATGATAGCTTTTTGTTATACAGATAAACTGTTTAGTTTAAATAATTTCCCCTTTTTAATTTTGTACATAAATAATAAACAAAAAGAGCTTCGAGAATAGATTTCACAAATTCAATAAAACAGAGCATTTTAGTAATTCGGTTTATAAAGTTTATGTTGAATTATTTAATAATATACATAAAAATTATAATCATTACTTAGCTTCTGTTATCTTTGAATTTTGTTTTACTACTTCAACTGACCGCTGCCCTTGCAATATTTTTAAAATACAAAACACCATAACCGCAAATTACTTTACTGTTTGAGTAGGAAATATGCAATACAACACGAGCTCCGGTCGCTCGAGTAATACTCTTTAGAGCTGGCAACAGTGTCTGATCTCGCGTTGATCTGTAAATATCTTAAAATTTCGTATATAAGTCTTCCCCTTCCCTTTTCAGCTACGGATCTCATTTTGTTGTAAATTTATCAAAAAATTTAAGTTCAAAAATCTTTTCCCCTCTAAGTCTACCATGATTAATATGTTAATTATAAAGATAGTTATGAACAATATACTCCATTAATTAATTTCCTATTGGTGGATCTCGGGTTGTCCTCGATTTAATCGGATCTCGCCTTGATATGAAGACGTATATATATATATATATATATATATATATATATATATATGTATATATTACAATTATGAACACTTCTTTCTTATCACTAACTAATTTCTTAAAGAACTAAAGCAATTAGCCCAGAAACACTACATCTAACAATTTATGTCACTTAATATCAGAACTACAAACTTAAAATTAATAATTACAAACATACATATAAACAGATGTTTTAAAAAAATATTTAGAAGAATCATAAAAATTACACTTACCTCTTTTTCAATTCCGTACTTCGGCAAAGTTGACGTTTTCGATGTACACTGTCCACAAAACACTTGCCCGCACGCTCTGCAATGGTGCTTCCTTTGGATCATGCTGAACGGAACTCTGCACCTGTGACAAACATCCCCGTCGGCCCATTCTGGAGCAGTATCGGCCGAAAACATCGCATCTGATTCCCGCAATGTCGGAAACTTGTAACCCTCCGCCTTCATCAAGGTCATAATGTTCTGAAATATGGATTACTGTAATTAGATTATGTATAATCAATACATATATATCAATACGAGGGTTCTGTTATAAATATCGATGTTATTAACTTTTAGTGAAATATTAGTATTAAAAAGGGAAAGAAAGAAGATTCTAGTAAAATAGTAGTATAAAGTACTGGGCAAAATGGCGGGTGATGACGACGCAAAAGAGCTCCTCTAAAATCTGCAAATATTACCAAAAACCTGTAGTTAATAGTATTGTTGTGCCCTTCGAGTAGCTGGGCTAGTGGCAGTAGGAAAAAATAACTCGATGAAATGCTGTCTAAATGACACTGAGGTTATGAAAAACGGCACGGAATTTTGTGAATTGTTGGAAGCCAAGAATGAGTTACTGAAAGGTAAATATACTGTTATTATGGAATTAAAGGCCAAAGAGGTTCTATTTTATAAAAATATTCAGCTACTGGAAGAAAAAGTTCATATATTTGTCAAGAAAAATAAAAATTCAGGACATTTGGAAAGTCAATCAGGCAACAGTGCAGCTGTCTCAGCTTTGACAGCAACTTTAACATATGCTTGCATGACACAACAAAAACAAAACAAAAACCTTAGCAAATCATCCGAACAACAAGCACCCCAACAAAGTACATCAAAAAATGTCACTCTCGGAAGTCAAAAACAAGTCTCAACCTCCGATAAATTCATTTCACCTAAGCAAGTAAGCGTGGCTGTAATGCATGCGCAAACAGCGCACAAAATACATAAAATTCAGCAGATAAATGAAGAGGTTCAGGTCGAAAGCAATATGGAATGGTAACAGGTTAGAAAGCGATCAAATCGACGGTTTGTGGTAGGGAGGAATCAGGAGAACTTACAAATTAAAACGGTACCAAAATATGTTTCACTCCATGTTACAAGGCTGCAACCAGGGACAAATCCTGACCAACTTAAGGCATATCTACAACTCAACTTTTCTGATGTAAGCTGTGAAGAGCATGAGTCTAGACATCCAAGTCTATGCTCATAAATAAAGGTTTTAATCCGCCAAGAAGACCTTAGAAGAGCATAGAATCGAGAAGTGTGGCCAAGCGGTACATTGGTGTCCCATTTTTTTCAAAAGAGGAGGGTGCCACAAATTCACACGGACCCTCAGGAAGTGGAGTAGGTAATAGCTCCAACAGAAACCTAAAGTTTTATTATGATTTTATTGCAATAACTGAAAGTTGGCTGACAGAAGAAATAAAGGATACTGAACTGGTAGATCAACGATATACTAGGTACATATGGTATATAGGAGTAGCTGGTAGATATGGTATATAGGAAAGACACGAGCAATAAAAAAAACCATGGGTGGTTGTGTCCTGCTGGCAGTAAAGAAGAAATTTAGGGTAGAACCAGTTAAAATTAATGTAAGTTGTCATATTGAGTGCTTACTACAAAAATTAAAGCTTAAAAATGTATTTTTCTATTTATGTCTTACATATTTGCCTCCTAATACATGTGATGTAGATTATGTAAAGTTTTTATCTAGTTTTGATAATATTTTGGGCACTAATGTAAATTTTTTGATTTTAGGTGATTTTAATTTGCCTTTTCATGGTAATAGAAGCTGTGCAAAATGTGATTTGTTGACCATTTTTATTAATAATCATAAAATTACCCAACACAACTCAGTGTATAATTACATGCAAAGAAGGTTGGATTTAGTATTTTCGAACATGAATGTCAACAATTTAATTAAATGCAATGTACCACTTGTTAATGAGGACCTATATCATCCTTGTCTTGATTTTATGGTCACATTTAATTTTTTAGATTCAACCGAGAATTGTATTAAAAATTCATTTTTCTATGACTAAGCAAAGGGTCATTTTCATCTTTTATATGGCCCAAACCCAATGTATGAAAAACATCCCCAAAACTTATTTTTGTGAATATTGAAAAAATGAAAAAAAATTCACAGTGATTCCATTAACTCGCACAATACTGTAGGTTCTATCCAGAACAATATGGTTTTTTACCAGGGATGTCCACTGTGACAAATTTGTGCGTTTTTATATGTTTTGCAGTAGGGGCCATAAATACTCAGCTGGATGTCATTTTTACCGACTGTACCAAAGCTTTTGATAAGATTAATCACACTATACTTATTGAAAAGCCAAGGTTGGTTTTGATTTAAAAGCATGAATGTTTATGACGTCATATCATTCTGATAGGTTAAATCAAGTTAAAGTGGGGAACAGTTTTTCTAAGCCATTATGTCGACATCAGGTGTACCACAACGTAGCAACTTGGGTCCTCTTCTGTTCGCTATATTTATTAACGATTTGCCTCACTGTATGAAATTTTCGACAAGCCTGCTATTTGCAGATGATTTTAAGATTTTTCGAGAAATTTCAGCTCTGCAGGATTCTAAGATGCTGCAATGTGATCTGAACTCAAATAGTAAGTCAATGGTTCGATAATAACAAAATGTTTCTAAACATTTCTAAATGTCATGTTTTTACTATGACTCGAAAAACATAATACATGGAGAACCAATACAAAATGTCTAGCACTGTACTTGGAAGAAAGAACACTTGCAAAGACCTTGGAGTAATATTTCAAGCAAAATTTGAGATTTAATGAACATTATCGGACCTCATTGGAAAGGCATGCAGAACTCTTGGCTTCATAATTCATAATTCAAAATTTTTTAAAAGATTTGACACTCTAATATTATATGGGCACCACAAGCCGAATTCAATGTTGATCTGATTCAAAAGGTTCAAAAACGATTCTTGATTCTTATAATTATTAGTTTTTAGCAGTGGTAAGCACTCTTTTAATGTAATAACAATCATTTTGTGTTTTAAAGGAGGTTAAATAAATAAAAAATAGAGCTTTCAAGACTCTAAGAGTTTTCGTTTTTAAGAATATCACTGCACAATTAGACAGACAACGACACGACATCAGAAAGAACAAGAATTTTTTAGAAGAAAAAGTATACTTGTTTAACTATATCACTATATAAACGTCTTTTTCTCCTGATTCATGTATCATCCTACTAGAACATCGACAATTAATTAGATCTTCACTTTTTTTTAAACCGCACCTGACTTTTTGGAACCGGATCAGTTTATTGGATAGTAGTATTGTAATATTTCACTAAAACGTGAGATACATCGAACTTACTATTAAAAAATTATGACCAATAGAAATTTCAGTCGAAATTCACAATTTGCCCTGTATATTATTAAAAAATTAGACCGCACACTTTTGAATGGTCATTTGTTATTCCCCATACGGCCTCTATACGAGGTAGGAGAATGTAGAGTTTGGCATGACCTACACTGTATAATATAACAAGAACGATATATATATATATATATATATATTATATATATATATATATATATATATATATATATATATATATATATATTGCTTTACCTTGAGAGCTCCATGTTTGGGATTTTTTCTAAAAGCAAAATTCCAAGTCTGGATCAATTCCAATAGCTTACTACGGACCTTTTCATGGGGTGTAGTTTTCCCCAGCTCATGTAAAAAGTCACAATATGTCTTCTGTGTTAATTCTTCGTGAACTACAGTACCTACAATATTTTTTGATTAAAGAAAAATTTATAAGTGTGAAATTATTCATACACAGACATATGATTCAACAGAGTTTGTTTAAAAACATATGAGTCATAAAGACATTGAGAGAATTTTGTTTAGACATGGATTATTGATAATGCATAATGATACATAATATAACTGATAACACAAAATGAAATATTTACAAACATCATGGGACATTAGCAGCTGTATTATCTGATACAGAAAGTGTAGCACTGTAAAAATTAGACAAATTTCGGGCTTATATGCATTCTAATCAAATATTCGCATACTACCAAGCAATACGTAAAAGCCCATAAGTTTAAATAAATATGTTTTAATTGTATAAAAGTTTTGGAAGTAATACAAGATTTTATATTATTAAGTACCATAAAAAAGATATCTTATAGCCAAACATAAAATAAACAAAAATGTGAGGTGAAATGGCAACAAATATATTTTTAATTGTCTGTTGCTTCTACTGGGTACTTTAATACTAATAAGTGATAACAATTGAGGACAATCTATAATGGCATTAATGACTTTGTATAGGAAACATAAATCTAAACAATATCCTCTTTGACTCAAGTGTTGGTAAATCAATAATGTCTCTTACCCACTGAAAGTCATATTACTACTTCGGTATCTACCTAACCTAACCTAAAAGCTGCTACCCTCAAAAAAAAAAATATTGTGGATTCTTTAAATCTATTCAATGTAACAGTTGAATGATGGGGAACATGCAACTGATCCATACTCTAGAATGGGCCTAACGAGACCACATTAAAGCAAAGTGCTTGTGAGAAACAAGCTTTTTATTCTAATATTTTTCATCACATGCATGTTTGGAAGTTCATTTGCATAAAAATCAAATATAAAAAATGAACCGCCTAAATTAAGGTTTAAATAAACTCATGTTGGACTTATTTGTAACTGTATTTATTTCAATATAACTTAGTTTTATTTTGTGTTCATATTGTACATATTTCGATTAATTAAAATGGTGCGTTAATTTTGTCCAGTATATATAGCAAATGAAATAAAAGAAGAAATTAATTTCAACAAAGTTAAAATATGGGACATGACCCGTACTAGAACAAATATTTCTTTAAAGTTGAGAATAATTCTAAAGGTAATTATACAAAGAATTAACCAAGGGGATACTCTATGGTCAATGATAGAATAATACAAAAAAAAACAAAAATCTTATAATGAAAAATAATAATCATTATCACGCAAAAGAAATAATCCGTGAAAAAATTATCCGGATATCAGGTACCCAAAATTAAGTTAATTGAATAGATTCTGGAGCAAGGCGTCAAAACACATTATAGAGTTTAAGAATGCAATGTTTATTGTTATATGAACTAACAGCATAAAACCATAATACAAGCAATATGTAATTAATATAAATATGATACAACAGTGAAAAATATCTGAACACTTATTATCAGAGCAAATTATCAATAAAAGCTTAATCAACAATGCAATAAATAAACCTTGTTAATAAACGCATATAAAATGCAATCAATGCGATAAATATACGAATAGTATTTAAATTAATACGATTATTAACATCTTGACTGCGTCACGTATACCAGGGGCATGTGCGTAATAGACATTGGTAACAAATTTTTAATTCTCTCTACTGATATCCATAATATGAGACATGCCCTCAGAGACATGTGTCGCACATAAAAAAATATTAAATTAGGATAGTTTTAGCCTGTCGCATAACTAATAAACGTCTGTTCAGATTTGCCTCAGGTAGTCAGCGGTTCTCTTTATTTCTCCTCAAGTACTACAGCCGACCAGTAGGAGGTTCGGTACCACAAAGCAGGTAGAAAAGGGAAAGCATAACAGAGTGGCTGTAACTAGAGTCATAAATTATTTTTCGGCGTTAATCCGAAATATGAAAGTGTAAAACGACTTCACTATATTATGCCTCATAGAACCCGAGAGGCATGTGTCATTCATTTTAAATTGTCAATTCCTGTCGTTGTATTATTATTATTTTTTTGAACCTATTCTCTATCCTTCCATTGTTGGATATAGGTCTCCCCAGTTCTCTCCATCTTTCCCTATCTTGAGCTGTTCTCTGCCATGTGGGACCTCCTTGTTTCCTGATGCCATCTTTCCACCTCATCTGTGGTCTGCCTCTTGATCTCTTTGCATTGTATGGACGCCACTTTCCGATGGCATTGTTCCATCGTCCGTCTTGGAGACGTTCATTCTGTCCAGCCCATTTCCATTTCAGTTTTGCTGCTTGTTCTATCGCGTCTACTGTCTTTGTTCTGGTTCTGATCCACTGGTTACGTTTTCTATCTCTAAGTGATACACCCAACATTTGTCTCTCCATCGCTCTTTGTGCCTTCCTTATCCTATCCAAATTGGCCTGTGTAAATGTCCATGTCTGTGCTCCGTAGGTGAGCACCGGTATGATACAGGAGTTATATACCTTGCTTCGTAAGTATAGAGGGATTGTTTGATTTTTTAGAACGTAAGAAAGTTTGCCGAACGCTGCTAATCCCATTCTTACTTGTTTCGATATTTCGGCTGTATGATTTTCTCTATTAGCTCTGATTGCTTGTCCTAGATAGATATACTCATTTACCTGTTCTATTTTTTCTGTTTTTATTTTTATTGCCTCTTCGTCTTCCGTGTTTGTCATTACTTTTGTTTTGTTGAAGTTAATTTTTAGGCCTTTTTGCAGTGATTTTTCATGAAGTTCATTCAGCATTAATTCCAGTTCTTGTCGTTCCGAGGAGATCAGGAGTATATCATCCGCATATCTAAGGTGATTTAGGTATTTTCCGTTAATACATATTCCTCTGTTTTCCCAATCTGTTGATTTTATTGTGTCTTCGAGGGTCAAGGTAAACAGTTTAGGTGAAATTATATCGCCTTGTCGGACTCCTCGTTTAACTTTTATATTATCCGTTATTAATTTGTCGTCCAGAATTACGGTCATGGTTGCGTTTTGGTAAATATCATGTATCAATTGTCGGTATCTTGAATCTATTCTACTATTGACCAGAGCTTCTTCAACCGCCCAGTGTTCAATGCGGTCGAAAGCCTTTTCATAATATACGAATGCTAAGTACAGCGGAAGGTTGTATTGATTGGTTTTCTCAATTAAGATTTTAAGCGCATGTAGATGGTCGATTGTGCTGTATCCTTTTCTGAATCCGGCCTGTTCCACTGGTTGGTAGTTATCAAGTTTATAGGTTAGTCGGTTGTTTATTATTGTCGTTGTATTATATATTCAGTTTATTAACAGTTCATTAACATGTGAGCAGTACTTGTTAAAATGTCGAAAAGGGTAAGATATATGGTTGACATAGTGATACAAAAGATGATAGAAGTTTCAAATAAACAAACAATTAGTGACCATAAAAACTTTGGAGAGAGTTCCGAAACAAATACTATGTTAAATAAATTACATGATAATGCAGGGTTCATTGAAAGTCATGAAAATTCTAATAATAAAAATGAACATAAGTTAATACAGATAGAAATGGGACACAAAATGGAGGAAAGCTCCATCTGATAATGAACAGAGTGTTGAGAGTAGTGGTAGTGCTGAATGGTGTGATTTAGAAGAGTATGTAGATGGTGACAATTTTGTAGTAATTGCAAAGGACTACTTGGTACAAAAGTAGACATGGAAGATGAAATAAGTCCGAACTATGTAGAAGAGAATGATGTAGAGAATTTGAATAGAGTAGAAGCTTCAACCATAGAGGAAGTTCTCGAAGCTATTAAGGACCAGAAAAACAATTAAGCCCCGGGAGTTAACGAAATACTCATCAGAACTGCATAAGGTAGGTGGCAACCACCTCGCGAGTCACATCCACGAGCTCATCAAAGACATATGGGAAGAAGAGAAAATACCCAACGATTGGAAGAAAATTATGCCCGAGCTATAAAAAAGGAGACAAACTCCAGTTCAAAAACTACCATGGAATTTCTCTCCACTATGAACAGCATATAAAGTTCTCACGTGTATTATAAACCAGCGACTCCAACCACTAACAGAAAATATTATTGGAGAGTATTAGACGGGCTTCAGACAGGGAAGATCGACACTGGATCAAATATTTACAGTCAAACGGATCTTGAGTAAATCATGGGAACATGACATTGATGTTCACAATGTGTTTGTACACTTCAAACAGGCATACGACTCAGTCAAAAGGAACAAACTCTATAATATATTGGTTGAATTGGCAATACCATACAAGCTAATTAAACTGGAGTATGCCGTTAGGCAAATGCAAACTAGATGAGGAAACCTACTGACCAACCGAATGGTTCAATCAGCCGCTTATGCCGATGATATTAATATTATGAGTAGAACATCAACAGGGGCACAGGAAACATACGCAGGGTTAAAAACACAAACAAAAAGGCTAGGTCTGGAAATTAATACATAACAAACAATAATAATAATACAGATGAGAAGAAATATAGTTCCACAACATATAATACATAAAGATGGCATTGAAACGGTTAGAAAGTTTACATACCTGGGAGTAGAAATATATGCCCACAGATCAGAAGATGGAGAAATACGGAAGAGAATAACTCAGGCAAACAGAGCTGATTTTGCTCTCTCTTATATATATATATATATATATATATATATATATATATATATATATATATATATATATATATATATATATATATATATTGGTCTAAAAACTCGACACATTCGAAAAAAAAAGTACTGAGGAGAATACTAGGACCTGTGAGGGGAAATGGAATCTTCAGAAGTTGATACAACAACAAACTTTATCAACTTATAAGGAAGCACCACTGTCAGACTGTCATAAAAACTTGTGAAACTGCAACAACATCTTAAGAGAAGTAATTTGGAAACTATTGCTGTTACTGTTTAACAAGTCTGTTGCTGTTACTGTAAATAGCTGTAAAAAGTAATCTTAGTTTTTCGATTTGTGTTTTAGAAATGTGGTCGCATTTCGGTGAAATGGCATAGGAAGAAGTTTTTCAATTTTAAATATGTACCACATTAATACATTACATGAAGTCCTATAGGTGTGGTTTTAAGGTACAAAACAATGTTGCTAGTAGTAGACATTTTTCTAATTAACAGCTGATTTGTATTCAGTTTATTAGCCATTTGATCATGAATGCCTGAATACATACTAATGCCTGAACAACACTTGGAAATTGTGCAGATTAACTCTAAGGGAGACTAGAATGGCTGTATCTGCCATTGTCTACAATAATTGAATATGTATCCTTTCTGCTATGGAAGAATTTTGTGGGTTTACAAAATCCAATTTGTGCAAGAATTGAAGATAAAGCATAATGACCACTGAGCACAATGTATACATACATCAATAAACAAAACTCACATTTGAAATAAAGAAAATCTTTAAGTAATTGTTAAGAAACTGTTACATATAGAAAACATGAGTGTTTGAGGTGTATTTTATGGATTGGTAGAATTATTGGTCATAATTTTTTTGTTTAGTCATGGCATAAGAAATGAAGCTCTTATACTATTCTATGAATACAGTTTTTAGTAAAAACCAAAAAAGAAATGGACAGGCTATCCTAGATAGAAAAACCTAGAACGAAATATTTAATATACTGAGTAGCAAAACCTACATTATACAGGATGTAACAGTATTTAATATAGTTCTCTTAGTAGAGCTGACCCAATGGTTAAAGCAAAATCATTAGTTAAAAAAATAAAAAAACAATAATAAACAATACAAAAGCAAATTAAAAACAGCTAAACCTAAAGGATATAACTTATAAAACAAAACAAAGGAAATAACTTTCGACAAAAAGTACAATAAATACCAAATAATTTAATACTTACCACAATTTTTGACCAAACTTTCCAAAACTAACAGGGCATATAAAGCTGAGTGAGGATTTTGAGAAGTTAGTTTCTTTTTCAATGAGGTCAGGACTTGTTTAGGTCTACAAAACAAAATTACCCCATATTAGTCTTGTTGAGTATTTTGTAACACCTAGATTTTAAATAAACCAAATTTATTTACATCTAAATAATTAATATACAGTGACTATTCTTTTGCATTAGTCATTCCATTGATTGAAATATTAAACCCCTATAATATTTCAATCAACAGTCTTACATAGTAAAAGTAAATTCAAAAGTAATCTGAAATTGTGTGACATGGAAATATAGTAGACTCCCTCTACAACGAGAACTGAAATGGCAGACTAATTACCTCACTATAAGCGGATCTCGTTATATCCAACAACAATAATACTAGGTATACATATGAATATGTAGTTTTCTAAAACATTAACTTTCTATAGTGAAGCCATTCAGAGCAATATAAGATGCTAATAAATATTGTTTGAATGACGTTTTTAAAAAAAGTTGTTTACTTTTATTGTCAATGATATGCATTAAAACAAAAAATCTGTATTCTGTAAATCTATATAAAGCGTACTTTCAAAAATAAAATAAACTACTGATTCTGCAATTGGAAAGATGTGAAACAGTTTTATGCTTCTTCATTTACATTTTGTCTTTAGGTAAAGTTTCTGACAACCTTTATAACACTTTCCACATCTTGTCTATTAGGACCTATATTATTAGGTGTGAATGGTCAACCCCTACAATGACACTTGTGAATCATAAATTGTAAATTTCCGACTAAGAATCATAAATCGTAAGAAGGTTATTGCAGGCGTTATTGCAACACATTTTTCAATCTTATTTTTTTTTTCGTTATAAGCAACTTTACCTCGCTATAGAGGGTTATAGTTCAATAGAAATTTCACAGGACATCTAATGTACCTCGTTATAAGTGAAACCTCATAATAATTGTGTTTGTTATAGAGGGAGTATACTGTAGCATAGACAATTTAATTTGTTTATAGACAAAATAACCCTTAAATATATCTTTTCTAAGTAACACTAACAGTACCTCTTAACATCACACTACTTATCTTAAAAATATCAATTGTTTTTCTCTTTTATGATATTTCATTTTTGTTCCCCACTCCTCTTCTTCCTTCTGTATAATTAAATATGTTTTATTTATGGAATTTATATTTATTTATTGGTTAATTGTTATTTCAATTTTAAAATATGCTAAGACGTTTCTTGCAGATTATATGGATATCCTCCTGTTTGTTGCCAAGTGTTACTACAAAGAATATATACACATATGTGTCTATATTCTTTGGTTACTACTTATCTGCAGCACATTCACAGCTATTTGGCACAATCAGAGGGGCTTTAAGTTTGAGCAAAATAATACCAGAAATAAGTAGTTTAAGACAGCGCCGCTATACTTTCATTGTATATAATCCGTTATATCTGTTAGTTTGGTACTTATTAATATACAAGAGAAATGTAAATATAAACAGACCTTTGGATAGTAAAGAAATAAGTCCATGAAATAATTTCTTTATTTACTATTGTTTGTAGCGTTATGTAAAATGTACGGATATACTTACTGAACATCATTTTGTCTAATTAAATCACATATTTGCAACGTAGATACCCAATCGGGTTCCATTAATAAATGACTGGTTGCTTTATCTAAAAAATTGTTATATTACATACATTACATACTATAGTTTCTAGTGAGTTACTTACCAAGTAAAACATCGATGTTTTTGCCAGTTCGAAACAAAGACATTTTGTTAAAAACTTGCACAAAATGTAATCAATGACTTTAATTATTTGTGATAATCAATGTAGAGAATTGGGGAATGACTCACTTGCTCTGAAAAACAGATGATTTTGATGTTTTGACAGAAGTGACAATGACAACTACCTTTAGACAGATGGAATTAAAATAAATAGAGGGATTCGAGCTCAATAATTCATGTAACTGTTATGCCTGGTTGCACCAATAGATCTTAAGCTCCAGCTTAGCCCAGCTCTGTTTATAGCTAGGGTTGCCTTAACTCTCACTTACGTTGCACCATAATTTTCTATTCTAAAATATTCTTTATATTCTTAATAATAAAAATACAAAATTTGGTTGATCGACGTCGGACGGTTTGGTCGTGGTCGGTCGATCAGTCTGAGCTGAGGCCTACCTAAAGCACGTCTTAAGCTTAAGATATGTTGGTGCAACCAGGCATTAAAGATGCAAAATGTAACGTGATATAACTGTTATAACTGTATAGAAATACAACCGGAACCACCACACATTCGAAATTGAAAGGTCAAACACAGATCACCTACCTCCTAGATGTTCCACGACAATGCTTTAGTTGGATATGAAATTCAGCGCTCCATAAGATTCGTATCGGAACTAATTCAACCGGGAAATTACGCGGGAATTTCAAATTTTAATTTTGGTGGGAAAATTTAAATAAAGCTTAAAATATTTAAATATAATTTAATATATTTGAAAAAAAAATGCATTTGACATTTTTAAATTCAAATATATACAATACCATGTAGGAAAAAATAAAACAAAATGTAATTTATTTATTTATTTAACACTTGTAAAACAACTTTGTAATTTAGAATAGAATAAAAATATGCTATTACCACTGAAAATTGTACAATTTTATGGACAAAGCTTACAAAAAGTCAGAAAAATAGCAATTTAAAATTTACTGAAATTACATAAATCGTCAATATCACAAAATAAAAGATAATAAAATACACAATGTATTCTAAAATTTAAATAAATTGCTTAATAAATCCTTACGAACTAATACATTTAAGTTTCAGCATGTGATACTAAAATATATATTTATACAAATAGTTTAGTTACTTGTACATAGCACTATTCGTTAAGAAACTCTTCTACTGAATAATATGATCACCATACAAATGGACTCACCATACAAATGTAAGCTAGGATTTGCATTTTTATACAATTTATGACTCCATCAAGAAACAAACTTATCTTCAAAGTGTACTGCAGACTCATTTTGTTTTAAAAACTGTACTAGCATTCATCATATCTAAATTAGGATTATTTGTAACACTAAGCCACTTCCTAAATCGTGTAATGTCTTTATCAGGCTTTGGGAAGGTATGTCTAATTAATGACGAATTGGTACATTGTAGGATACAACATTTATTGTGAAGAACCATTTAACTAATTATTATTAATCTGCAAAATACTGTTTGAACACCACCAGGAACATTTAAAACACATATCACTGAGGTAGGGGATTTGTAATTTACAATTTAACAAAATCAAAATATAAACGCTAATATGACAATTGGCGATTGACAATTATAATTCTTAGTTGTGTTCTAAACCTAAACTGTAGAGTAAAGGTAAAGACAGAGTAAAGCGACATCTGAAGATTCGTATCGGTACTACAACTGACATTAAGTTTGGTTTGACCTTGAGCTACCTACGTGAAACGTCTAGTTATTAGTGGTCTGTGAGGTCAAAAAAAAAATGAAGGATGACTTTTAGAGTCCATTTTCTCGTTTTGATGAAGGTCTGGTAGTATTGTATGGACTGATCAAGAATATCTACGCCTTTCATATTGTTATTGTAGTTCGAGATTACTTTTGGACATTTAACGTCTGTAAATGCTGATTACCTTTTATCCCATCGCTTGATTTGACAAGAATCATCTACAGAAGTGCAATTGGATGCTAGTAGGACGGATTTGTTGTCCATCCATTTTACAACAACAATATCATTTCTAATGAACTGCTGAGATTTACCATGTTTCATTTTGCTATCTTGCTTAAAATCAATATTTTTTCTATCAGGAATCGATTCATCTCATCATAATTGTGCCAGTCTCATGAAGTTCCATTTCTATTAATTTTTCCAGTTAAGGTATAGATGAAAAAAAGAAACGAAATATACGTCAAAATATAGTCGAAATATACACAACTACCACGTCGAATAGACTTAGATAGATGAAGAATGACAGCAGCTCCCACATCTAGAGATCTGTCTCCACAGGTTATTTTAGCGCCCTGGTAAACTTCGAAGTCAATCATCAAACCATCGTGACTAGTGGCGACAAAAACTTTTAACCCTTGTGAACGTGGCTTTGTTTTAATAACTTGTATCAAACCACGTGGACATCTCCTACAAAATGGAACCATCTGTTCGTCTATTGAATAAAAACCTTGTAGGCGTACTAATCTGTTGCAAGCATTCTTTACTTGATCAAGTACAGGTTTCACTTTCCAGAGTGAATTCTGGTTTCCTGTAGGAGCTTCATCACTTTCCACAACGTGAAAAGCCATACGAAGAACTTTAAAATGATCCCTAGAAATCTTGTCAGCAACTAAAGCTAATCGCATTTCTGTCTGCCAGTACATGTGAATACGCGGGTATGGAATACATCCCATGATAAAATGAACTCCTACATTTTTTTTAATTCTGTTGCATTGGTGTTTAGAACTGTTCCAGTTTTTCGCATAAGTATAATAATTATTTGTATGAACTGCGGCATGCTCAAAAATTTTTTCGTCAAAATAGTCTTCAAAATAGGCCAAAGGAGACCTAACCGCTGCTAGCGGTCGCTATGGATAGCAGTGCTCCTTCTGGTTGTATGGCATTTGCTTCCAGGAACCTTTGGCGATTGTCTCGATTTTTTTTAGACTTTTCAGGAGCAGTTGCGGATGATGGGTCTAAACTTGGAGGTATCTCAGACTCATCAACATGCATCAACGGCAGAAACGAGTCTTCTTGATCATCCTCGTCATCTTCTACTTCTTCACTTTCAAAATCGTTGCCATCTCCAATCAGCTGAAGTACCAACTCACTCGATATGTTCCGTTCCTAAGGCAAAAAATATTAATATTTTAATTTAAAGCGAAAAAAAAATATTTCATGGCATTACAAAGTAAGACACCGAAAGATGAGTTTGATTTGGAAATCATCAACAGACTTGTGCAATATCGTTCGCTACCGTTCTGGGCCCGCAAAGTTGATTAGACAAGAGGCAGGAATTTTTTTGAAATAAAGTGCACAATCCTGTGGGGTTAAACGAGATTATTTTTGTCCTCAATATCCCTTAGGGTAAACTGTGCAAATACCGGTCAGTGGGTAATGGCGGTCATCCCGATTGGCGCAATCTATTCAATCTGGCAACCTCCTATAACTGCCAACGTGTCGCTACACTACTCTGTATTCAGATTGCTGACGAGCGTTGAGTTGGCGCAAACAATTGTCATAGAAATATTATTAACCTGTTTTCAGTGTTTTCGATCTTATTTTTATGCTGAGTAATATAAGGTCTTAATTCATTTTTATTCACTTGTAGATCTTAAAATTGGTTACAATTGATTATAATGACGTTAGCTGCCTATTCCTTTTTTAAAGATCAATATTTTAATACATGTTTACGAGTAAAAAATTCTAAGAAAAAAAATGCCAACAGGAGGCAATGCCGGTCAGTTGACCGGTATTCATCGAGCAAAAAGACAAAAGAGGGAATGTAAAGGTAGTGGGGGCAAAGATATTGTTAGACAGGAAGTGAGATCTTTAGAGGCCACATTAAACAAGGAAAGAGAGTCTCTCTCCTTGTTTGACATCAAATTTAGTTGGGTTATGTTATTGTTTGTCCCAAATGTCACATGAAATCTTATTTATATTGAAGTTTTTTAACAATTGTGTCGCATTTTAGACTCTTATCATTAATAATTAATTGAAACTTTCTCGTCTAAGACACATTCTGAAAAATAGCTACTGTTGATAAGTGTCGGAAAATTTAAATTTCGCGCATTCGCATTTCCGGATATGTCCGCCATCAGAGGCCACTTTTTTTGGTCTCCTTTTCATAAGGATTAGATTCCCTCTTTTGTCTTATTGCTCGATGCCGGTATTACCCCCATGCTATAATTTATACCCTATACTATTAATCCTTAGGGATTAATCCATCCATTTTTCGACATTGCAAGAAAGAATAAAAAATAAAAATCTTCAAGGTGTCTCAGGTAGAAAATTAGTATTTTCTGCCGAACAAGAAGCTAAAATAGCCACACAAAAAAAAATATTTAGCTTAATTTTTTATGGCGTAACAGCAACAGAACTGAGAAAATTAGCATTTGGGTTTACAAGATAATTTTTCTTGTAATAAAACACCTTTTTCTTGTAATTGGCATTACAAGAAAAAGGTGTTTGATTCTAGTTCTTTGGAATCGGATATTGATATATCATGTGATAACAGTGACGATGCATACGAAGATAGATGCCTGGTTTACAGCGAGTTTGGCAAAAACAATGAATTGTGGTATATATTTACCGTTTGCTCACGATGGGCTTATTCAGAGTGCAGTGGATGGGATTCTGCACAGAGTTATACCTGCGATGACTGTCAACTATTTTTACATTAAAACACATATTTTTGTTATTTTTTGTTTTTTTGTAATAAAAAATATTTTTTCACCTTTCTTACTGATTTACTTGAATTATGACCCATTAAGCCACATTCGTTAATCGTTTTATAATAAAAAATGTTAAATAGATATTGATTTTTATTTTAATAATAACACAAACAAATTGACTGGCATTACCCACACTCATGACCGGTATTGTCCATGAATGGTGACAATACCGGTCAAAGATACTTTTTTATGTTTTGTCTCTGTCAAAGACAAAAATTTTATATTTTTGAAATTAAATGTATCTTGCAATAAGTTAAAACCCCAAATTACGGATTGACGGCTTAAATTTGATTCACAGAGTTTTACTTTTTTTTATATTAAATTTTCTTCTTAGGTGACCGCGATTTGCACACTTTACCCTAAGCCAGCTACTCACTATCAGGTACACTCGAACAGGTAGACCTGTCCGGTGT